GACCCGGAAGAAAGAAACCAAGGACTGACCGGAGGGCTAGTTACCCGTTACTGCTTCAGGGAGTGACCGATGCTAAGAGGGAAGCGAAACGCTATGTTACCCGCGAGATATCCGCTTTCTTTCTTCCTGCAGTGGTAGCGACACTACCGATGTGTAAAGATCAACTCCTGCTTCTCTGTCTTCTTCAGTTAAGTCAGTTCAGCTGGGCCTATTTGTATAGCAAAGAGCGCCTTCTGTTACTCTTCTTTGTTGAATGGAGCCGAGGTCGGCGAACGAATGTTATTAGCTATTTCCTCTAATTGTATTTCTCGCATTCTGCTAGGCCTCTGGGCCTATGTTCTAAATGAAAGAGCTATGGACTGAAAACCTAAAGGGAAGTAGTTCCCGCATCTGCTAATTCAGTCTGCTGTGGATTTACCGGCTTCCAAGTCAGCAAAGTCTAAAGGGAAAGCTAAACCTGGAGTTCGAGTCGGAAATCTGTATTATCTTCTTAAATAAAGCCAAGTAAATCCAAGTAAAGTAGCTAGTGCATCTCCTTTCTTGCAGAACCTCTGCTGCGAGGGAAAGGGTGGTGACTTCTAAGGCGAGTAGTTTCCAAGTCAAGGGTTCGAGGACCTATAGTTTATAAGGGTGGTGACTACCTATGTGTCAAGCAAAGAAAGCTAGGCCTAGTACTTCCTATTTGAAGTGAAGAGAGCCCTGGGAAGAGATGAGTTCAACCTGGAGTGAAACCTAAGGAAGCAGCTCAGTCTAGTTCTTTCAAGGCTTAGTTTAGCGTCAGTTGCAGGATTGGGAGTGTAGTGAGGATAGCCCAGGTGGGCGACCGAATGAAGTGAGTTACGAGTTACCGATGCTGGTAGTTTCCGTTACTACGGCTGATAAATAAGCGCCTCAGTGTAAAGAAAAGCTAAACGAGTAGCGTCAGTCTGAAACCCTCGTTTAAATCCAAGTAGCTAGTCGAGTTGGAGCGGAGGAGCTCAGTCAGCTAAGTCGATTTATGGCATCGGGGAGTCAGTCTCTAAGGTCAGGCTATGCGTAAAGAAAAGATAGGGAGAAGGAAAACGCATAGAGGAGTTTGATCCTGGCTCAGAAGGAGCAAGTCTTCTTCCTAGTGGAACGAATGAGAGTCTGTGGCAATTGCTTCGCAACCTGCATCTATTAGTTCCGGTTCATCTCTGACTTTCTGCTTCGTGTATGCATTTCTTATTTCCATAAACAGAATAACTCCCCTTCCTCACATACAGGAAAGCACAGGGCTCGGAGAGCGCCTGCCAAAAATTCCCCGAGGGAAATCTTTGAATGGTTAGCCAGATCGGGATAGCCGCGCTTACCTCAATGGCGGGAGAGACGGGGTTCGAGAACCCTTATTTACTTAGATTGGTAGGGAATCCACAGGAAGAACGAACCAGGAGACAATGACTTTCGGGGTTAGCGGGCTTACCTCGTGGAATGGCCGTTGAATGGCCTCGGAGTGAACGGGGGTACCTCAACAATGAGAGTAGACCCTCTTGCACGTGGAATTCCTCAAAGACAGGAGAGGGAAGACCGATTGTCTTACTGATTCTGTTGCTGAACAAGAAAAAATTTCGTATAGTATAGAAAGTAGATCGAATCCGTTTTTGTTCCGCTGACATAGTACTCTTCTTTCTTTTATCGCTGGTCGAACCTATTTCAATTCCTCTTCTTTCAGTCGATCGGTCAATAAGGTCTTCACCCTCCACCGAAAAACAATTGTGTGAAAAAGAAACTCTCTTTTTAAAAGTTCTGTTAGGTTCTTAGTAGCTCGGAAACCTTTATCTGGACATTAAGAGCGTCAAGGATTAGAGCGGATACAAGACAGTCCCTTCCCTTCCATCCAACTACACGGGACTCCTCCTAAAAAAGCGCGTAAGGGGCCACCCACTCTTTCCCCTTGCCCCTCTCACTCATATGCCCGATACACATATGCGGGTAGATTCAGATGCATTTCGAGTCCTATTTTAAGGCACATAAGCCCATGGAGTTCTAATGCCAGTTCCCAGCGATCCAGTTAGAGGAGTGGCAGTTGTGGGAATAGCAGTATCTTTTATATTTTCAATAGACCCAGTATCCATATTTGTATAAGTTCCAATAGAGAGATTCAAAATAGGACCAGGATCCTCTCAGGTCACCAGCAATCCTCCCGTCACCACTCAGAATGCAGTTTACATCACCATCCCAGAGTCCCAAGAGGGTAATCAGGATGACAAGTTGAAGAAAAAAGCCGAAGAAAAGAAGGTAGCCAATCAGCTAGAGAGCTTAGAAGAAAAGGTCAAAAGCCTACAGGGGATCGACTCTTATGGCAGTACCAGTTTCTCTGACCTATGCTTTTCCCGGATATGAAACTCCCCCACAAGTTCAAAACTCCAGACTTAGACAAATATGATGGAACAGGCTGTCCTTTTACCCATTTGAAAGTCTATTGTGGAGAAATGTGTTTATACGGCGATAATGAAAGACTACTCATCCAGCAATTCCAAAAAAAGTCTGACCGGCCCTGCTCAGAGGTGGTTCGTCCAGTTAGACCACAGCCGGATCCGAACATGGTCTAACCTAGCCACTTCCTTCCTGTCACAATACAAGTTCAACACTGAAATGGCACCGGACCGCTCCAACGTATGCAGAAAAAGGGTAGCGAGTCATTCAGGGCATACGCCCAACGATGGAGGGAACTCGCAGCACAGGTCAAACCCCCGATGGTTGAAAAAGAGATGGTCGGTGCTTTCCTCAACACATTGAAAGATCCATACTACTCCCACCTTATCGGGCACACTACGTCAAGTTTCGCAGACCTGGTCATAGTAGGTGAGCGAGTGGAAGATGGAGTCAAATCAGGGCGCCTGGTTGACATACAGGCATTGCAGTCGCTGCTGGAACAGTCAGGAACGAGCACTATCCCGAGGAGGGTACAGACCAAAAGAACAGAAACCGGGCCGAAAGGAGGAGAAGTTCAGGTCATCACCTCCGCCCCGTCTAGAAATGACCATCCACAAAAGCAGAGAATATACGTACAGCCATCCACTCAGCGGCCCCTTATATTATCACCAGGACAGGTTCAGCAGACTAACCAACCTGGGATTCAGATTCCTCAACCACAAGCACCAACAGGAGAAGGCACGAGACCTAATCCATCACCTCCCAAAAAGGAACAAAGAAAGTTTGATCCAGATTACTATCACATGGGAAGTCCAGGTCATACGACTGACAGATGTTTCGCTTTAAGACACAAGATCCAAGATCTCCGAGAACAACACCTGCTACGCTTTGAACTTGAGAATTGAAAACAGAGAATGATCTCCCTGAAATCAACATGGTTCGCTCGGCAGGCCCCTCAGAATCGAAACCATCTCAGCCCACTGGCACAACACAACATCAGCCAGCATTCACACTTACTGCTCTTGCCCCTCAAATCAAGAATGGAACACTTCGGCCCGCTGCAGCCTCTGAATTCCCCATCATCGCCTACTCTTTGGATGGATCACCCATCTATCAAGGGAAGACTGAATCAGGCCACATATGGTGGGACATCTGCGACTGTGATGATTGTTTCCAAAATGCACAAGAAACTGATCTCGAGCTCGAAGCCGAGAGAGAACGGAAGCCTAAGCCGAGAAAGAATAAAACTTATCAGCAAAAATGACGGGAACGATATGAAGCAGGAGATCCTGAGGTAGACCTTCTCGGAGACCCATCAGGAAAGTTTGATTATCTTGTCCTTTACCCGAGAAGAAACATGGCGGCTCTAGCTCCACCTCCAATGATACCTCATCCACAGTGGTCCACTGACCCTCCCACTGGGCCGGGCCCCATGATGCGTCTACTCACAGAAGTGACCACAGCTGTCAACTCTATACCTTGCGAGTCAGTGGAAGAATCACCTCCAGAAGACCCTGACCAAAGCTATCGCATGATCGAAATGCAAGAGTATATCGAGCGGCAATGCATGAAGCAGAGAAGGGAAGACTTTCGGGATTTAATCATTTCACATGAGCGCAAAGCTGATGAAGCGGCATCCTCTGGTAACAGAGCCCGAAGTAGGAAAGTTCGATCCATCCCAACTCATTACACCTCCGCGAACTCGTGTTCAGCTAAAGATTAAGGAGGAAGAAGGTTTGCCTGAAATCTCCATGATAACCTCAGCAAAGCCGAAGGCAACAAAACCATGGAATGGGTTCCAGTGGACAACATTGTTAAACATGGCCCTTCAACTCCTCACCCGCTGAAAACTAACACTTGAGACAGATATGGCGTAGACACGGCTAGAGATCGATTGAGGACCTCCACCAGCCTAGCTAATAGATAACTTCTCTCTTCCCGTTATCACCCTTACTTGAGTGAGGAACCCTTGCGAATAAGGGGTCCGAACGGTACCTCATTCTCTTATAAGAACCCTTCTTCCTTCACTTCACTGAAAGCCTAATAAGGGGGCGGATAAGACTGAAAGAAGGGTTACATCCGGGAGTGATCTACGAGAGTTCGCACATAGCCTTATTAATATTCCTATCCCGGTGCTCAATAAGGTCCGGGGCATAAGCTGCTTCCAGAGCAGAGGTTGCGAAGCTAACAAGCCTACAAGCCAAAGCAGGGGCAGTGTGTCGAGATAAAAGCAATAAAGAGCTGAGGAACGAAGAACCGCGGGTGGAAGCACTAGGAGAAAGCTAAATAGTTCAGCGCGCAATACAATAAGGCTTATGTTACACAGATGGGGATCCCAAGGAGAGGGCTTTACTAATAATAGTAAAGGTAGGGGACCGAGAATACAACAATCAGGGTTGTCGTAGAGTAGATCAGGCTCTCATCAGACCTAAGATGCTGCTCTTACCCTTAGTGGTTCTCAACTAGAAGGAAAATTAGTTGATCTGGAGTTGTCGTAGATAAGGGGGTCAGGAATCAATGATTCTTGCTTCTGACTTTCCACGATTGAAGTGGAAAGGGGGCCGCCGATGCACGTCCGAACCAGCGACAAAGACAAATCTGCAGTTCTAAATAGGAAAGAAAGGAATCCGGTCTCCCCCCCTGAGGGTAAGAAAGAAGGTCCCGATTGTAGGGTCTGTAAGATGGTATGGTTGCAAGCTAGCAAGACAATAAGAGAGAGTTCCCCCTATCAAGGAAGATGGGTTTTTTCTCTGGTGCTTTGCACTCTCCTTAATGTACTTACAGCTCAACGTTGTGTTGTCTTCCCGGTAAGTAGGACCAAGGAAGCCTATCTCCCCTTTCTCATAATAGTGGTGAATCTCAATCATAGAAACAAAATGACCAGGTTCCGTTTCTGTTTCTATGCCTATTTCTCTGTACAGAAAAGATGAGTTTAGTTACCTTGATGATACCACTTCCAACTCCAAATCCAAATCCAAAACATCTCAATACTGGTACAAGTGGAAAGTTTAGACCCTCAAGAAAGTGATTTTATGATATGAGCAAGCCAGAAAGGGGAAGTGTAACCATAACCTCTTTTGAAGGCAAAGCAAGTAAAGCCAGCAAGTTCTGACTTCCCTTTTTTTTTAGATCCCTTGGATGTGGCTAATTTGTCTAGTCCCATCGAAACAGTTGAATTTAAGTCCTTCCTTATCGATGGGATATTACCTCCTGTATTAGCATATTCCATTCTAGCATATCTTATTTCCAGTAGTACATAAAACCCCTGAGTCTGTGGAAGCCAGTGAGGCTAGTGAAGAGGGGTATCCAGTTACAATTACAGTTTTAGTTGCTTCTCTCTTCCCTAGAGTTTTACAAAAAAGCCCAACAACGGGCAAGAGACTAAGTGTACCAAAACCTATTAGCAATGAGATTTGATAAAAGTCTTCCATTTTGTTTTCGGAAAAAAAGAGATTCCTATTCTGCATCTCACTAGCCTTATTACCAAAACAGGTAAGCTAGCAGGGGAGCCCGCATATATATATGTTTTGAAGGTGCAGAAATTTATTGGTGGGTCTCCGAGGCGGAAGGAAGACCCGCAGTATAAGTAGGGAGGGGTTTACCCTCCACAAAATAAGGGATTACTCAAAACCCCTTTTTTTTTATTTTTCATATTAAAGCGCTTTCTTTTAAAAATGCATCTGGTTCCATCTTTCTTTCGTTAGTTAACCCACCTTTTTCTAAAAGGGATTGTAGTAATTCTGGTTTTACACTATTTGGAATGGCTCTCTCATATTGAGAGATTCTGTCTAGTGGCATTCGATCACAGAATCCATTGACAGCCGCATAAATGACTAGAATTTGTTTTTCAATTGGAAGTGGTGCATATTGTGGTTGTTTCGGTACTTCTGTAAGCCTTGCACCTCTATTGAGTAATGCCTGAGTCGCAGCATCAAGGTCTGACCCAAATTGAGCAAGGGCGGCCACTTCGCGATATTGTGCCAATTCCAGTTTTGAACTACCGCAGACTTGTTTCATAATTTTCAACTGAGCGGCAGACCCAACGCGACTGACAGATAAGCCGACGTTAATAGCGGTATCACTACCAAAGACAACAATCCCTACATTCTCATTCTCAAGATTCAACGCTATTCTTTTCACACCTTGGGCGGCTTAAGCCCGGTGCTTAACTTTACGCCCTCTCTCCACCCGTATGTGAGATCGATCGGCAGACCCAGACTTTGGTTCCACTCGATGATCTCACACAAGACAGAATGGTGGAGAAAAAGGCTTTTAAACAAATAAATAAACAATAGAAGTACAACTAGGACAAATACACCCATAATAATGGCAAATCGTTTCTCGAATAAGAACAAAAGACGTTCTACGGGTACGCTCACGTTAGGGGCAGCCTTCTCACCCAGCAGCGGCGAGGACTTCTCCCCCTTTTGAGAGGTACCACATAAAACCCGAAAATTCCAATACGAAGAAAATTTGCCAATATCCCCGTAGGGGGATATTAGCAAACTTCTCGCCTTTTTAGGGCTCGGGACATCATGACCCATTCATATTCACTCGTAGTTCTGCTTCTTGCTCTAACAGAAAGACTTGTAGGAAATCTGGTTGGTCCAACCAAGAAAAACATGGGGGTTTTTGGGCATCTCACAGGAAATGGAACTTCTTTTCTTTACGTAATTTCAGCCTTCATCGAAAATCCTAATTTTCTGCTTTTTGCTCGTGCTTTAGCTTTTTTATCTCATCCGTATTCCGGTTCAAATGTGTTAAGTTTAAGTCAGGTAAGCGGGTGGAGAATAGCGAGGGAGAGGGCAGCGCCCCTTGCTGGATAGAATATCGAGAAGCACATGGGATTGGGGTGCTCTCTAAGTGAGGAGCCATGGAACTCTAGCTTAGATAGAAAGGGTTTTTAGGCCGGACAAAGGTCTAGGTTAAGTCCGGGAGAGAGGGCTTGATGAACACCACCTCCTGGTTAGTGATTGGGCACACGCTTCCTTTACGGCGTAGAATCGGCTTCTTTTTTTGACGTATCAGAAAGGGCTTCTCTTCTACGCCCGAAGTTTATATTTATGCAAGTATCTTCACTTCAATACCCAAAGTGGCCCTATACATTTAATGATAACCGAACCCAAGCAAGGAGCTTCAATCTTTTCTATTTCCGGTCGGGTTGGAAAGTCTTTATTTTATGTGCCAACGCAGGCCTATCACCAAATCTCCACGGCGAAATCCTTTGTTGGAAGGCTTGCTGATTCATGATTTACACCTCTCTCCGCCGCTTCTTAACAGTTGACTGCGAGATTAGCACTTTCTTCGTTACTAACAGATATATCTTTTCCGCGCGAGCTAGTTCAACAGTTCATTCTTGTAAGCCCCTTTGTCAGCCACACTAAGACTTCGGGTCATCATGCACTGACACAATCATTATCTGAGGGCCTATGATCATCCAAAAGCAGTACCTGGCATACTCCTAATAATCAAAAGAAAAAGCCGGATTCGACTTCTTGTGTACAAGCAGAGCATCAACAATCCTTTTCGTTACCAATTACAAATGGTATAAACTAATCGGGATGCTTCTACACGTCCATTCTTCTAGGAGAGTCATACCCGTCTTTTTGCCTGACCCGGCCTTCCAATCTTTTCAATCGGTCTAGTCCACGCGTGGACAGAGGAATTTGCTTCCTCTAGCCCATTACCTGAAAAGGCGACTACCTTACCTATCAATCGTATTGGCCCAATTCCAGATCAATAGAATAGAAGGTATCATATTCACTAAATTCCTAAGGGAATCCCCCGCTTGACTAATAGCCTCTGCCTATTGTCTTATTTTCTACTGATTGCTTGTATCAAGCAGGACGTCCACATGAGAGTTGTACCAAGCAAGTGTTCTCCCTTCACTATCGGACCTGCTTCTTACTTATTTGTTAGCGCCTACGGGCGGAATCAAAGAAAAAATGAATACATTGGGCTTTCGCCACCTGAAAATGCCCGACGGTCATTCAAGATTATCTGCATTTTAGTAAGTGTATGCAAGAGACGCAGTCTTAGTATTAGGAATAGCGAGTTCTCCCTCGTATCCGCAGAAGTTAATGCAACTGAACCCTTCGCTACTCCTTTTTGTGTGACTGACCAACCCGAATTTCATATTGAAAAAGGAGGAGGCACATCAAGGCAGAAGTCGAATCAAGCAAAGATCCTCTGACATTAGCTAGTAGCTGCTTTCCTGGGACTTGCACTTGCTTCTTTTAGAGAAGGCTTGGCTCTATTTATGCTATTTCCATCCACTTGACTGTTCTTCGCGAGTATCTTTCGTCTCTTCCTGGGAATCCAATGGTTACGCTGGAAGAAGGACTAACAGTTATAACCGAGAAAGTGCTTATGTCGACACTAGCAAGTGACTCACCAACTCGGAAGTAAGAAAGAGGAAAGACAGGGGTATGACAACCAATCTACCCGCCTATTAGCTATTCTAGCCAAGGCCAATTTCATGTGTTAAGCATATAGACATCAGATCGTTTTTGGAAGAGTGCCCGAGGACGAATAGAACTTAGATTCAAAAGAGCGCGAAGAAAGAGCTTTCGCAAATGATTGCACTTCTGCTATCCGGATAGCTATTCAAAGCATCGAGAAAAACAAAGATAATGTTAACAGTTTCATAAAAGCAAGGGGATTCGCTAAGCAGCTAAGCAAAAATCCTTTACCCTGAAATCGTAGATCTACGAAATGAGCGTAGTGTTGAACTCTTTCGCACCCCTTCCGAAATCAATCAAGGATTGCCATCGAAAGCTGTCGTTACGCCGAATTCTTCAATAAAAGTAGCCGTCGTAAGGCCGGGGCGTTGCGTATCCGGAAGAGTCAGACTTCGTTTCAAGCAGCAATCTTTGAAAGGAAAGATACTTGTTGTCGATTCAATGTGGGATAGTCCCTACAGGATAGGAGTTAACCCATGTCCACAGTTTTGATTACAGGTCTAGTTCAGTTCAACTCATAGCCCCCAATCCCACTGGTGACGATATTGTCATTGGGGATCAGAAAGTTGCTCTGCCTTACAAAGAGTGGTTAGCTGATCTGGGAGTCAGTGTCTCGATGCCGAAGTCACTGGTCAATGAGTAGGCAAAATCATCTGGGGAAGGAAGCGAGGTGGAGTGAAGCACGGTCGGCAACAGCTAATTGGCTCAGGCGATTCTTGTTGTCGGGCGTAGGGTAGGACCCTCTTTCGAGTTTCAGAGGTGAATCCTCATATGATATGAAGGACTCCCATCCCCGGGAAAGTCCCCAACAGCAACTGGATCAATCTTTGTTGGCTGGCTTGCTTTGTCCGCTATCCTTCATCCCATCCGTCTTGTCCAGGCTGGTAAGGAGAGAAAGGGGTGCCCGGGGGAGATGAAGTAGAATCAATTGAAGTGGATGTTTCAGGAGTTCATTCAAGCGTAGGGGTAGGGCTTCATTCAAGCGTACGGACTTTATTCGACTTTAGTTTAGTGAGTGGATTCTGTTGTGGATGAATGCGCTTAAGCAATAATAGTGGTAGGACTTAGCCGCGCTCTGTTCTTGATCGGTCGAATCGATCGCCATGTTTCTGAGATTCTTCTAAATGCCCTTTCTCTTTCGTTAATGGTTACGATGTCAATCGGGTACCCCATTCATCTATCTTCTTTGAAATGGAATTTCCCGTTCTCCTGCTTCAGTTACAGCTTCTCCCGCTCCTGGAATTCCTTAAAGTTTATTAATGCGATTTACTTGCCCTCTTATAAATCATAAATTGTCGGATATTTTTGCTTGTAATGCTCTGTGGTGGAACAAAGGAGTGCGCGAAGGTACAATCCTAAAAAGTGAGATTGGTTATAGGGATATCTTTTCCTCTGTTTTGCATATCAACGACAGCTCTGACCTTCCTGATCCTGTAACTGGTTTCTCCCCTGGTCTATGATTGCTCTCCTTAAGACCCGACCGGAAGGTTCGTTCGAGAGGCCCGGTACGGTCCGCTTGGGGCCCTTCCGCAATAAATAGCAGATATAAGAAAGAGAGAGTGGCAGACTGAAGGAACTGTTAGAGTGAGCCTGAAAGAAGGTAGAGGATAATCTCCCAACTTCAAGCCAGGAAGCATTTTAGCAAAAACATTCCCCTCATTCAAAGAAAAGAAAGATGAAAGTTGAATAATAGCTGCCGGCTCCCTTTAACACCAACGGTAGATAGGAACCGAATTCAAAGGCTTGCATGTTAAAGATAGAACCAACGGTGGCAGAAGAGATTTGTGCAGGAGCTGGCGGAGAGCGGAAGATTCGAATCTCGATCCGGGGAGACGTTTCAACGTTAGCTCCTGTAAGCCTGAGCAAACAAAGGTTGTAGTAGGGGCTTCCGCGACACTTTGATTAGTTCAATTAACCCAGCCTCAAGGACAGAAAGGGAGGGTAGGGTTTTTCCTTGATGAACCGAAGGAGGCCTAAGCATTTTGAAAACCCATATCATTCATTGGTAAGCGTAATTGGTTGGCCCTGCCAACTATATGCAGGTCTCTCGAGCCTTCCCTATTTCTCGATCGGTTCAATGCTTCATATTTATTCCACTCAAAGCCTGAGCGTGGCTAGGGTTCTCCCCCACTTCATTAATATAGTATAGCGAGGTGTGGTATAAAGAATACTGATCGTCCAGTAATGGGTAGCGACAACTGAAAAATTAATAGCAAAGGAATCTCAAGCCAAGGAATCGAATTTCTGACAAGGAATCTCAAGCCGCAGGGAATCTCAGGCGAAGGAATCGAATTTCAGCGAAGGAATCTCAAGCTAATTTCAGTGAAATCCCATGTTTTACTTCAAACTGAAAAAAAAGGAAAGACATGAATCACAAAAACTGGCTTACTCGATCATTGGATGATATGCCTAGAAAAGAGGAAGACAAAAAGGAACTAATAAGGTTTTGGAATGAGTTTTACACTTATTTATTGCAAAATACTAACAAGAGTGGACAACATGGTAAGAGTCACTCAGTTCAGTATAAGGAAACCGCCTTCGATATTTTGGAAGAAGCAAAAACAAGATTACCATTAAGTGTAGATGAATTAAGTGAGATCCAAAAGCAAATTGAGGAGATTACTATATGGTTCGATGAGAAATCTATTTTTAGGTCAGCTTCCGACATAATCAAAATCTTAATCAGGGAAAATGAGGAAAGTGCTAAGGATTTTCTCAGGAGAAGGCCATTCGAAAAGGATGATCTTGAATTGCTTTCAGAGTTCGGTCAATATACGATTGAGGCATTAATAGTTCATGTACTAAGTATGTTTTTTTACTCAGTTGAATCTAACTCACTAATTCGTGTTGCTTCTTTGGTTGAACAACTAGAGTCTAGTGTCCGTCACCAAGCTTCATTATTGAAAAGCGGCAGGTGTAATAAACCGTTTTCTAGTGCCACGAATGATTTCAAAGTGAAGAAGTCTGGTAAGGATAGGAAAAGATCCAAATTGGTGATGATGTATCCCTTCGGTTCCGGCTTAGTTCAATTCATGGAGGAAAGGAAATTGATCAGTTTAGTGACTGATTTGAGCGGTACTGTTCGAGTGAAGAAGAAGAAAGGATCTTATTTTCTTCCAAGCCATCTCTACGCAGTCTGCAACTTTGATATTTCATTACTACCGATCAAGCTCAACCTGCCTATGGTATGCAAACCTCGAGATTGGACGAGTGCCTGCCGGGGTGATCAAAATCCTAGATACCTGTCCGATCTATCAGGGGGTTACTTAAGTGGGCCAACAGGTGGCCTATATGATCGTTACCGCCTCTTAAGTTCAGGTGACATTAATCATTTTTATATTGATATTGGAAGAGAAAAGAATTACGAGAAACTGTGTCTTGTAATGAACAAGCTGCAGGGTCAGGCCTTTCAAATCAACAGTCATTGGTTGAAATGTCTTAAATATAATGAGGACTCATTTGTTGAATCTGGTTTACTCATGCCAAGATTTCTATCCTCTATGAATATCAAAGATGTATCCAACTTACTTAGAGAGTTTCACATGAAGGATGAGGTTATTAATAAATTATGTAACTTTAGCGAATTGTTACATACTTTATCTAAGAACATACAGCGTTCTCGTTATGAGAATTTGATTATGAAGCTGGCACAAGCCTACGAAGGTTATCATTTTTATTTGCCAGCCTTTCTCGACTTCCGAGGTCGAATCTACCGCAGTGGTGTCTTGCATTTCCACGAGCGTGATCTAGCAAGAAGCATGATCGTCTTTGCGGATATCAAATCTAGTGGCAATATTGACATGAATGCATATCTCGCCGCAGCAGCCTTCCATTACAAGTCTTTCGTCTCTGTCGACGAGGCATTATACTTTTCTAATAACAACTTCTTGCAGCTCAGTCATGATGATGATCTTCTCATGTACGCTCGGGAGGCTAAACGCCCCTTTCAGCTCTTCGCCCATCTAATTGGAGTTACCTCTCCAAATTTGAAGGTTATTACGCGCATCCCTTTAACCCAAGACGCCTCAGCGAGTGCATATCAGATTATGAGTTACTTTTTGTTGGATGAAAGCCTGGCTTCGAGAACGAATCTCATCCCATCTTTGGATGGAAAAATCCAAGATGTTTATTCATTCATCCTCGAAGATCTCAAGGTGTTCATGAAAGCAGAACTGGATAATAATCATCTATCAACGATAGTTTGCAATGTGCTCACTCGTAAGCTAGTCAAAGGTATCTTTATGCCTATGATCTATGGCAAAACTTTAATGAGCACGGCCAGCGATCTAAAAGACACTCTCTCTCGCTTCATCACTCATAAGGAATGCTTCGATGTTGCCTCTGTCTGCTTTAAGTTCTGGAGGACGCAATATCAGAACACGGAATGCCTGATCCGGTTGATCCGCCATATAGGCTGGATCGCGTCTGCTAGGGATAGCCCAGTTTTCTATAGAGTCCCTTCCTTTACCACGGTACAGGATTATATGAAAATGGATCCCATAAATGTATGGTTTTATGATGGACTTCATAAGAAGAGGCGTCGGGTGACTCTCAGAGTTTCTTCTTCTAAGAGAGATCGTAGGAAGACTGAAATCTCTACCTTCGTAAACTTCATCCATCAGAGGGATGCCCATATTGCAATGAAAGTAGTAGAATGTATGCTTGAAAAGGGTGCGCCTATATACACAGTACACGACAACTTTATAACTACAGCTGAATATAGCTATTTTCTACCAATAATTTATATCAAGGTCATTTGTGAGATGGGCCCTCCACTTTCAATCCTCAACGAGTTCATCTATATGAATATTATGAAACCTATTGTCAAAGTGGAGTCAGCTGGACCTCATGAGGGTTACTTTGCCGATAAGGTAATCTCAAAAGAGATTCTTCATTATTACTTAAAGGCTAATGTACCTGAGAACATAAGCAAGAAGATGATGGCAACTTGGGAAGAAAGGATCTCGGGAATACTGACCTCTTACGAGAACTATACTCGTTATGTATGCGGTGATTTTCAATCCCCTAACCCTAGGGATTGTTTTCGAGCTCATGAGGAAAAGTGGGATAAATTCAAGTCAAAGCTAATAAGCGGGGAGGGAAATTACTACTGCGTACACTATTAAGTATGAATCATAAGATGATGGCATACACCACAGACAGCTCAACTACTGGACAGTTATTGAATCGCTTGTATAAAAAGATTGAACGAACAACACACCAAGATCCGCATCTTGGGTTAATCATTGCTTCACATCACTTCATCGAGCCTCCCCCTCTTGTTAACGAGATTGACCTACTCTGTCTTGCGACCATGTCTCTCTTAATCCAGTTTGCTTACCCATCCTTATCTGGTTACGGTAAGTTCACAATTTCCTTTACCATGAAGCGATCTTACGGAGAGGAGATCTCATTTACGCTAGGTCCTGCTATCCCCTTGACTGATCCCGATGGTAAGTTAATTCCAATGAGTGAGGTCTATGCTCATATATCTCGATCAATTATGAAATATGCAGAAATCTACAACGGAGATTATATAGTTCGACTCATGATCCGAGTCTATATGGACGGCAAAAAGATGGATAGGCCAGCCCTATCTTCAGAGGAGAGAGATAGCTCACTTTCTTCAATCATTCAAGCCGGATTGAGTGAGATCGAGCCAATAACAGCAAGAGAGATCCGAAATCGTAATCGTAGCTATCCAACCCATATCACAGCACTCAAACCATGTCGCACTGAGCTGAAACCATTCATTGTAGCCGATACGGAGACTCTACTGATCGATAATGTTCATAAGCCTTATGCTGCAGGTCTCTTGATGGTTCGTCCCGGTGAACAGATCTATGATATTCTGATTGATAGCTACTTCAGTGAAGACTACTCTATAATCTTGGATTCCTTTGAAGAAAGGAGTACTAAGGTACTTTATGACTTGGTATTAAGGATATCAACGATTGTTAGACAAGAACAATCCCCTTTAACAATTTACTTCCACAACTTCTCTAGATTCGATGGAATTCTCTTGCTTAAGCACCTAGCATGTCATCACAAGAGCTACAAGCTAAAACCACTGATGAGGAACCATAGGCTATACGAGTTAGCTGTCTATTCTGGTACGAAGATGTTATTCCGCTTCAGAGACTCCTTGAATCTACTCCCTGGCAAACTTGCCTCCCTAGCTAAGAATCTATGCCCGGGTCTTGGCCCGAAAGGCTCTATCGCATATGATGAGGTGACACTGTCAAATCTGGCAAGTATGAAAAAGAACTTGTTAGACTATATGAAGCAGGACATCCTTCTCCTTGGAGGTGTAATGCAAAAAGCTCAAGAGATATATTGGAAGCTGTACAAGGTGGACATAGAAAGCAAGATAACCCTTTCCTCACTTGCTCTTAGCATCTTTCGTATGAAATACTACGATGCTTCTAATTGGCCAATCCACATCCCAAACAAGAATGAAGACAGCTTTATAAGGCGTGCCTACTACGGTGGTCATACAGATGTATACAAGCCATATGGCGAGGACCTATACTACTACGATGTGAACTCTCTCTATCCCTTTGTAATGAAGGAATTTCCAATGCCTGGTGGTGTGCCAGTCTGGCATGGAAATCTGGAAGGCAAGGACTTAGATAGCATGTTTGGCTTTATTGAGGCATATGTGGTATGTCCGAAGACTATCAAGAAGCCCTTTCTACCCTATCGAGACAACAAGAAGAACACTCTCATCTTTCCAACCGGGGAATTTGTTGGAGTGTACTATTGCGAGGAGTTAAAGTATGCAAGAGGCCTAGGCTACACTGTAATCCCAATCTCAGGCTACCTCTTTGAGAGGATGGAAAGCCCATTCAGGGACTTTGTTAGCTCACTCTTTGAGAGCAGGTTAGAGGCAAGGATATCAGGTAATGAGGCCATGTCCTATGTGTACAAGATCCTTATGAATTCGCTATACGGTAGATTTGGCATTAACCCTAAAAGCACGACAACCGAGGTCTGCGATAAAGATCGATACAAACATTTGATCAGGCATAGTGAGTTCATCTTCGGTGATATGCTTAGCGAGAACAACTACATCGTTGCCTACCATAGCAATACCGAGAAGGGCTCAGATTATTGGAATCCACCGAAGAACTCTGCTGTCCAACTAGCTGCTGCGATCACTGCCTCTGCTAGGATCTATATGTACCCTTATATCTCAAGAGAGGACTGCTACTACACGGACACAGACTCAGTTGTGCTTGGTCAGCCACTACCTAAAGAAGTGATTTCTTCTTCTGTCTTAGGTAAGTTTAAGCTAGAGGACAGAGTCATGAAAGGATACTTTTTAGCACCGAAATCCTATTGCTACATCGCAATAGGTGGCTCCAATATACTCAAGTACAAGGGACCAGCGAAAAACCAGGTCAATCAAGAATGGTTTGAGTCACAGTACGCGGACCCATCTCGTACAAAACAGGTACCGGTGGAAGCCAACTTCCGGATTGATTGGCACACTCTTAACATCATCAAGAAAGACACAATGGTCAGGGTTGGGCTTCAGCTGGGGACCAAGAGGATACCAGTATATCACAGAGATGTCTGGGTGGATACTGATCCAATTGATATCCAAGACTTGTCTAGCCAGGAAAACAAAAAAAAAATCACTAGGGAATGCTTTAATACAACTACAGACTGAAAATGAAATTCTAAATGAGAAATTATCTAAGAAGGAAAGAGAGTTTGCCGAGAGATACAAAGAGATGATATCACAGTTTGATGCTAAGAAGAATACAGATAAAAGGATGCACACTCAATACACTACAGAGAGACAGAAAAGTCTTACTGAAGAAAGAACGCTATTAGATAAAGAAGAACAAGAACAAACAGAGGTGACTAACGACGAGAAAACTAAGAAAGACCAAAAGATACCTAAGACAGACGAGAAGATACCTAAGAAAGAAGAAAAGAAACCGCCTTGAAAGACAATTGATAACTGACGAAAGAACTGATGAAGAAGCGCATCAAAGACCTCAGCCTTAGGGGGGAATAGTTGATCGAACTTCCGTGAGTTCGTTTTTGGTCATCCTGCATTTCTGCATTTCACCGACCTTCGCAGATTAGGCTAATCGTATTATGAAATGAAAGGGAGGAAAAATGGATACGCAGTATTCTATAATGAACATTGTAAGGTTAGAGTTTCTTTAGTAGGCCACAGCAGATCGAAAAGTCGCTAATTTCGCTCAGTCAAGTTCTCGTATGGGTAAGGATTTGGCCATTGGCAGTTGAGGGGGGTGTTGATTCCCCCCGCCTACGTAGGGTGCTAAGTGAGTAAAGTAGCCGCCGGATCTAAGAACCCAAAGAGCACCCATCAAACCACCTCTAGTTCGGGACCCATTTCTACAGTTCGGGTGCCAGAGTCCTACTGGAGGCTCATACGCAACCTACGTCTGTTGGGGGGGCTGCCCCCTACCCTAAGCCGGGCGACGTACGGTGTGACAGACAAAGAAGATATGCGTGGGATTTGTTACCGTACGAAGGGGTAATCCGACCACCAGTTTCATCCAACGACATCGAGGGAGCCCTACCATTCCCAGTAGATCCTTCTTCTTCCTAAGAATTGAACAAAACAAGTTCACCTATACGAGAGTTCAGGTCAAGAGAAGGTCGACTATAACTATAAGTAGACGCTTCAGAGGCCCCATCTACATCATCACACGATGAAAACGAGGACTACAGACCAATCCCCGATCGGAAAACGCACATGTTCTATGCCCCGTCCACTCCTTGAGAAGGACAGGCAGCCCAGACTACATAATGGACTTGGTGGCCCGATTGCAACCTCATGGTACTAAGCCCTTCGCCCTCAACTAATACTTAGTTAAGCCCTTCACCCTGGCCGATCCAATTAGCGGAAATATCAGTGCTAGACCCCGAAAGGATTCTGATCATAGTCGTTCAGCGCGTCAAGTTGACACTATAGCTACAGGCAAGTGTTTAAGGTCGTGATTTCTCATTCAATGGCCTCACCATTATCATTCCCATGTACAATCCGACATCTAGTATTTCACCCGCAGGCTATACTGTCAAGCAAGGAAGGCGACCTCAAAGACTGGCGGCGAATTCGCGTGACGAAAAGCTAGGTTTTATTCCATCTCTAGTTTCATCGGATCGTTCATAGATGACATGCTTCTAAAGACTGCTGCTCAACGGCGTACGGCTGACGACAACGCAAGGCCGTGTACCGAAAAGCTGCAGAATGTACCAACGCCTGAATTTGACGGACGCGACGATGATAGCTACGAAATGTGCCGAGCCTATGTCCTTCCCAATCTAAGGGACAGTGTAGAGCGAACTTACCCGATTTTTCCCGAATCTTTTCAGACAAGGAGGGAACAACATCCCGGTCCGATGTTGGTTTTCCAACCCGACAGGACAGTCTTCCCACGCGCCCGACTCAACGAGAATATAGCCTCATAGCTGGCACGGCGAAGCGTATCGTCCCCTATCTTTATTGCACCCCGGACACCCAATCGATCGTTCCCCGATTGACACCTGACAGCCCTGAGTTCTACCCGATCATCCCCAGATATAGATGCGTCACACAAGTAACTCTCTCCTGATCCGCGACCGTGACTGAAAGCAGTTTCTTAGGCGGCTGTGCCAAGCTTAGTTGAAATTAAAAAAGGGACGGGAAGAAAGTAGTAGTGAGTAAAAGTGCTCAGAGAAGCGACATGCATATTCTAGCTAGCTAGCCAATTAATTTCGAGGGTAGCAATGATGAGGTGCAGCCGTCCGCTAACAATCGCCAATTTCGTGTCAAGAACGATCCCATAAGTGATCCTCTCTAAGTAGAAATCGAGATTTCCTGTAACTATGGGTCATAGGCATTTTTCCTACACAGTGCAAGCAAGTTAAATTTTTTTTACAAACATATCAGAATTTCTATTAATCAAACGACATTTTCTGGAATCTGGCATTTAGCGACAGGTGGATAATGTCTTAAAAAGACGTCAATTGCGAGAAGAGGTCTTGCTGCGCGCTGAGTTATTACCGTAATGCATGATCATCAAATCAAAGAAAGTGATGACCATGCTGCTTACGCGCTTAAGCAACAAACCCAGCGAAAAGGTAACTCCGCACTTTGTTAAGAACAGAAAATGTCGTTTTTGTGTGACAAAAGCTAAATAAACATAGCAGTCGTCATCCTGAAATCGACTCATGCTTACTGTGCCCACTACCTTTCCAATAACCCATACGCTTCGCTTTCTCCTGCACCCGGATGGATTGATTGATCATAAAACAGATTGGTGAGCTGCTGCTTGATGAACCGCTGCTGCCGCCCTTCAATCGCCGAGAGTTTCGCTAAGAACGTTCAAAACTCACTCTAAAGGGAAGAGTTAGCCGAACTTCCAGTAAGCCATGAAGAGAATTCCTCTTGTCCGTTTTAAGTCGAACCTTACAAAAATAATATTTTACAGACATAAATGTCATCCAAAAATGCCGGGAAAGCTTGCGCAAAGCGGATTCCAACAACTCGCCTAAATTCTGCTTACCCAAAACCTATTCGAACAGGAGACTAGCCCGGCGCATGCCCACCAGGCCGGTTTTTAAGCTCAGTCGGGGACACCTAATGAAGGTAGCTACGGGCAATAACAATGCACCAACCTTACCATATGGTAAAATCAACCACTAGGAGAATCTAGAGCTAACTGGAGTTCTGTTCCATCCTTTGATAGAGTCACGCACCTATTTGAGTGAAATCGTTTGGGTGAAGCTTGTGAACTGAACACCTATTAAAATTCAGCTTGTCGAGACAGATAATTGAATGAAGCTTGGAATGAATTAATTAAAAAATGAAATAAATTAAGACAATACGACAGAGCAAAATCTAGCATTTAATCTTTCTTGCCAAGCGGCTTCATTCGGGTCCTCCAGTAAGGGGGGAAAAGTCGCGTCTACTAGCACAGGAAGTCGCGATCCAACCGCAGGTTGGTTTCAGCGCACTTAGTCGTCCCGTAAGAAGCTGCTGCTTGGCTAACCCGCTCGCTGCTGCAGTGCTCAGTGTCGGTCATGTATCCTGCGTGGGCTCAGAGTTCCCCCTCCTTTTTGGGGGGAGGTGCCCTCTGATCCCGCTCGGGGTTTATTCCCTTCGCTCGCAGCCCACTTGAACAATCAGCAGGCAGATTTATCGTAGAATGAAGATCCAGCTTGACTCTAAGGACGAGGCAACTCAAAATGGGTGTTAGCGACTCCGATTTTGATGATCGTATACGATTGACCAGGCCTTCGCCGCAGGCGGGTGCAAACCGTCGGGTATCATGTACGGCTGCCCGCGAGAGCCTTGACAAAATCAAAGTATGTTTGATAAGGCGTTGGTTCGGTCGGTCGAGGTCGCTCTTCGCGAAAAAGAACGTACGGTACGGACATTTAGCGTAGATAAGGAGCGCGGCGATCGGCAGTGAGGTGAGGCGAACGACGAAGAGCTAGTGAGTGGGTAAGACAAGGTGTAGCGCAGTCTGGTCAGCGCATCTGTTTAGGTTCGAATCCTTTCACCTTGGCGTGGCTCGTTTTAGTAACAGTTCCCTATTATTATGAGAGGCTTGAGTTTAGGTTTGATAAGTACATGCTCATCCATGTGGCTGCGTAGAAATTTGCAGAATATTATTGATTTCAATCCATTTGACTGCATGCTTCTTACTGTTTTTCTGTTAGCTTTGATCTTTATCTATCTATGGCTTTATTGGAGAAGGAGAAAGATGCCCTTTCAATTGAAGCTAATCGTGCATCTCATTTTGTTTTTTTTTACTTTTTTTGGATCCGAAGTTCTTTCTTTATTGCCGTAGGGGCCATTTTTTCCTCTACGTGTATTATGATGAATGCTTATGGGGCCGGGGGGGATGACCATCCTTCCTCTTCCTTTTTTTAGGGTATTTCCGCCTGGGTTCAAAATACCCCCGAACCGGGGGAAGAAGGAAATTCGCAGCCTTCTCAGGGAGTCGGGCAGCGGCTTCCTGGTTCGCCGCTCGAAATCTCTTCCCCGGGCATAAGCGGGGAGTCTCTCTTTAGAGACTCGGTGGAACAGCCCGGGGGGGAGCCCGCCCCTTCTGAGGCTGCGCCGCCCGCGAATCCAGGAGGTTCCCGGGAAGCTGTACCGCCCGCGAATCCAGCGGGTTCCCAGGAAGCTGGGCCGTCCAACCAAGGCCCCGCTCCCTATCCGTATCAACCAGATCAGGTGATAGGGGGCGATAGTGTCGAGACCATAAAGAGGCGACTCTTGTCGGGGCACGAGGCTGACCTACGAGGTCTGCGAGTTCGCCCGCATAAGGGCCGAGGACCTCTTTGAGGTCAAAGCAGAGATTCTCGGGGAAATGTCACGCCTCGACCCAGAAGGGCCTTGGTTGGAACGCGGTGCTCGGGCGCTCGATAACCCCCGGGGGAGGAGTCCCTCGAGAGGCTTTTCGCGATATTGGACGCACTCCGGGAGGGCGGACGCCAGTCGGAGGCGTTCGCTAAGCTGACCACGAAATTGTAGAATTCCGACTTTTTTTCCGTTATGCCGCTCCGCGAGCAAGGAGCGAAAGAACCAAGTGGGCTGTGGTGATGTCAGAATTTGCACCTATTTGTATCTATTTAGTGATCAGTCCGCTAGTTTCTTTGATCCCACTCGGTGTTCCTTTTCCATTTGCTTCCAATAGTTCAACCTATCCAGAAAAATTGTCGGCCTATGAATGTGGTTTCGATCCTTTCGGTGATGCCAGAAGTCGTTTCGATATACGATTTTATCTTGTTTCAATTTTATTTATTATCCTTGATCCGGAAGTAACCTTTTCCTTTCCTTGGGCAGTACCTCTCAACAAGATTGATCCGTTTGGATCTTGGTCCATGATGGCCTTTTTATTGATTTTGACGATTGGATCTCTCTATGAATGGAAAAGGGGTGCTTCGGATCGGGAGTAATCACTAGTGATAGGGCAAAAATAGGGGGGAAGGACAAAGGAAAGAGCGATGCCCACATTAAATCAATTGATTCGTCATGGTAGAGAAGAAAAACTGGATTTCACACCATTTCTTATATGCGGTTACAATATCGTTGCGGGCATTTTTAACGTAGTCTGGTATCCGGGCGAAGTGGCCTCGCCTCTCATAATTGGGGGGGGTTCTTCGGCCATCTTTTTTCTTTGCGTCGCTAAAAGTTACGAGGAAAGAAGCCTATCTCTTCTTTCTTTTTTGTGAATAACGTAATTTTATTTTATGTATTACAAATGCCTGATCCGTGCAGCTTCCTTGTGGGGCTATTTCTAATTATGTTAGCATCTTTCATCTTTATTTGTGGTTAGGTGATGATGTTTTCTTTAATGTTATTTTTTTTGCGGTGCTCCTTTCCCGAATCTTCTATCATCAGAAAATGGGTGAATGGGGATTCGGTCTGGTGACCGAGTTGCTGTTTCTCAGGCTATATTTTTTATGCTTCGAGTTGTTTCTTCAAAAAGAAGATAGATCTGAAGAAGGATCTAGAATAGAACCTTTCTTCTATTTGATACCTTTATTTAGTCTCGCTTTTTGAATCTTCAGTTTTCTTTAGACTACGGTCTAAAGGAAATACTTATTCACATGAACTTCCTTTTCGCGGCCGCGGCTCTTCTCTTTTTTTTATTTTTTTCCAATACTCTAACAGAACTTAAAATTTCAATTTTATTATATATAATAGGGAATTTATCGATAGGTTATTTCCTGGCTAAATCAGTAATGACGTTTTTTTCTAGTAAGTTTAGTTTTCTTGATATCCAATGGAATCTTCGCGAGCTTCTTTTTTTGAAAGCCCAAAGGAGCAAGAGGCCCTTGGCAGAAATACTTCTCGCGAATAAGAGAGAGGGCATCCAAACCCTCCTCGTTGTTTATTTCCTTATTTTAGGAGTCCTTCTCACCCAATTAACGGGGTCCCCCGCTCTTTCTATGTATTCAGATTGGCTTGTGGGGCTCGGGATTCAAATCGGGTTCCTGACCGCACTAAACTATTTCTTCCAAAATTAGTTTAGTCGGACCAGGACCTATTAGTTTAGCATCAATTACAAGAGTGCCAGCCGGGTGGCCCCGGATGTAGTCTTCTTTAGTCTTGCTTTCGAGTCGAAGACGAACCGGGTCTTTAGTGCGGGGGTTGTAGTCTTTATTTGAGCGGGGGTATCCTCAATAAGAACGAGGCCCGTCCCAGAAATGGGGCGGGGAAGGAGAAGTGGGCATGTGGGTCTCCTTCACTTGACTATTTAGGTTAGTTTATCCCACTACGAACGAAAGACCAAGGCTAATTTATTATATAGATGAAGCGGAAGAAGGAACAAGGCTTGAAGGCGGATTAGCTAGGGAATGAATCCGATGTGAAGCTGTTCCTCCGCTAGAATAAGGGGGCATGATCGCTGATCAGCAAAGGAAGCAGTCACTGATCTTCGACCACACCCTACGTATGGATGTCTTTCTTACAAAGAAAGAGATAGGAAAGCTCCGACATCGTATTCGCCCTTTGGCTAACCAGAGTCAAAATCGGAGTAAGGAAGCAGCGAATAACTCAAATTCTCAGAAGATAAGTCGTCTAATCAGGAAATGATAACGGGTCGAATAGCGCTCCAATCGACGGGCGAAAGGGAACCAGAGCAGCAAGCATCACAACAAGAGACATTCCCCGCCACAACAGTTCCACAGGCACCTTATACCCCTTTGGAAACTGATGAACTCGGTCGATCCAATCAGGGGTATGCTTTCCTAGCCGTCGGCCTCAGATGGACGAGACAAAGAACGCAACTCAGGGGGCGAGAACTCAGAGAGGTGGAGGTCCGGACAAGGCTAGAGCCAAGCAGAGGGATGGAGTAGGGGACGGTTGGTGAAAGTAGGCACGAGTGGAGAGGCAGGTGAGGAAGCGCAGGTGTAAAAGTCGAGTCTAGTATTTTTGCTTTCTTTCGTAGGCGAGTGAGAAGCGAGAGTGCAGGCTCGCCCCGAAAGCGAGCCGGGAGCGATCAAAGGCGATAAACGCTTGATTGTATTCTTGACTGATTCAATTGATAACGAGAGATAAAGGTACCCTGACCATGCCCAAAGGGGTTTAATAACTAGTAGTGGCGTGCTGAACTGAAAAGTACGGTGAAGCTTTCGGAGCGTAGTGAGGTGAGCCAGTGCCTGTTGGTGGTCAAGTCCCAGTGGAAGTGGAAGTTGTTGGGCGTTCAGGTTGCAAAGGAAGTTGGTGGGCTAACGGTGGTCCAGGTAAGGTAGGTGGGGAAGGCTCGCCACGAGATCGACCGATAGCTTTGACCCAACCCCGGAAGCGGAAGTGCCAGAGAGATGATCTTTGTGAGGCAGAGTGACATTCCAAGGTCAGGTATAAGGTGCTACGGGAACGATGTCTCAAAGGTCAGTGCCAAGGGCTCAACGCGGAAGCAATCCGCTGCTCACAGGGACCGTGCGGGCTGACGCTCTTCTCTCTCAGGCAAAGAAATGTGATTTTAACTTTCGGGTAGGCTGCTTAAGCAGAGGTTGTTGTTGGCGTGAGTGAAGGCGTTCCTTCCGGTGGGCATGACGAAGCTAAGCTGGAACTAATTACGAAAGCATAATCGTTTTCAAGGCTAGGGCATAAAAGGCTAACAGCTTTTCCGAGTCAAAAGCGGCTAAAAACACTCAGCCATAAGTTCCGGTTTCACCACAGTACAGGGCTAAATAAAGGGGCTCAAGGTTGGCATGACGAAGCGTCGGGCATCAAAGCTACCGGTTTCAAAGTTCAGTTCTAACGGGCGTTCGGAAAGGCTTGAAATCGTAACGTACAGGTAGACTTTGCCAAGGCAAGGAAAGTAGTAAGAAAGATATCGATGGAGCGGGCAGAACCTCGAGTAAGACAACCAACCCTGGAGGCCATGGCTTGGCTTTATCCCGTAGGTAGTAAGAACAGAGAGAGCCTTCTGTGCTAGCAATACAGAGAGGTGGGGATTGAATGAGGCGAGCGCTGACTGCAGCAAGACCACCAGACCCTAAAAAGAATAATAACAACGTTCAGCAAGCCGAAGCCAGCCAGACAGGCACCACCAGATACAGGGCGGGCAGTTACTCCACCGAATCAGAGGGCGGATACCCAGGAGTGAGCTCCGATCTACGCGGAGAAAGCTAAACAAAACGGACTTCACACAGAGGGGGGCGTAGAACTCTTAGTTGAAAAACGTTTAAAAACTTAAGTAGTGGGCCTCGAAAGCTAGAAGTGCAGATTCGAACTCCGCTGAAGCTGCTAAAGAAAGTCAAGATCACCTGCCTGTGCCCACATCCCTGGCAAAAAGTGACATCACCGACCGGATCGGCGAGTCAGAGGCAGCTTAATAAGCTCGACAAACTGGAGACGACTAAGTTGACGTCATCAGCTGGTCAGAGGAAATTGACTAAGCTAGACCAGAGAGAGGGATAGGACGTTTACGCAGTGAAACCAGCGAGCGGAAAGAGCGAGCCAATCTTGAGTCAATAAGATGCGATAAGAGCCCTTTTTTTAGCCAGTTCCTGTGCCTGGGATTCATTCCAGTCTGTAAAGTTAAAGTAATCTGGTGGATGGGGCCCGCCTCACCATTCCCCTTCTCCAAAGAAATCAAAAAAGAAAAATCACCATGAAAAAGGCCTGCCTTTCAGTACGTGAAAGAAGTTCTGCTCTTTACGTGAAGTGCTTTCTCTTTCACTGTCTTACTTTGGCCCCCGATAAAAGGATTCAATCCAGCCCCAAACAGGGTAGCCCGGGGCTGGATTGAATCCTTTGATCCTAGTAGCGAACCGTTCCCACAATCATCTTTCTTGTACCTCGATAACCAAATCCCACATGTACTATCACGAGGAACTGGCTTTCACAATAACAATAAATAAAGGGAAGTGCGCCGGGAAAGCAACCGGAGATGCTGGTTCAATTCCTGCTTGTGAATCAAAGAAAACAAAAAGGGGAGGCTCACCGACCGGAAGTGAGGAGCCAGAAAGCATCGATTTCCAGGTCTATCTATTAGACGTTATTTTACCGATGCGAGTGCCGAGTTGTTTCGAGTATCCGAATCCTTCTATTACATGCCAATCCCAGAGACTCGAGGGGCCTAAGGCTATTCCTTACCTAAAAGAGAAGCAATTCCTAAAGAAAAGAAAAGAGAAGATAGATATAGCCCGGGAGGGCAGAAGCAAATGCACTTTTGTAACAGAAGTCTCAAGAGAAGAAATTACACTTAATGGGCTTCCGGTACTCCTCTCTCCACTCCAAAAGGGACGAAGTGACTCTCTAATTGGAGAAGATTTGATAAAGCGACCAATGGCTAGCCGGATAAGATCTTTTATTTGATTAGGACCGGCAGGGTGGATGGAAAGCCTTACTACTTGAGGGGTGAAGGAAAGAGAAAGAAAGTAGATGGCTTGCTAGCTTTCCCGAGAAGATAATCCGCTATCCCCGCTTTCAATAGTCCTTCTTTTAAACTTGTCACAAGACGGGATTCACTCAGATAATGAATAATGCTTTCAAAGGGGCTTCCTTACTTACTGGTACTGGATTAAGTCATCTAACTTAATAGCTTGCTCCCCCCAGAAATTAAGGAAGTTCAAGAGACTTTGTTACTGGCCCAAAAGGCGAAGGACTAGAACTTCACTTGAAAAAGGGACAGGCACAGGTCGGGATGGCGGGGAACTCACAAGAGAACTCCCAATAGCTCTGGCAGGGAACTCTATCTTTCGGGGATAAGTTATTATCTTAGGACAGGCTCGCAAGCAGAGGCAGAAGCACTCGAACTCGCTCGTTGGCTTGTTTGGTAGCTCAGCATTCTAGGTAATCCTATTAAGAGTATAAATGGGAGGACTTATGACTAGAAAGAAATGAATTCTCTAATCCGCTATCACTAGCTTTAGGCACTATAGATCCAATCCTCTAATCTATTTTATATGCTTAAGGTCAGAAAAGCGTACAGACCCCCAAAAAAGGAACTCACACTCGATTCAGTTTTATCCGGATAGAAGAAAACTGGAAATAGCTTTCTTGCGTAATAAGACACTTATCCCAATAGATGCAAAGGAAAGATAGCCTGAATTATTAAATTAAAAAAAAAATGTATCTCGGCAGTGACAGCAAGCGCTTTCTTAATAAAGATGTTCAAATTGATACTGGCTAGCTTAAGAGTTTCTAATATGGGATTTCCCTTTCCTTTGGCTTAAAAGATTCGATACTGCTGACTGAAAAGTGAAAAGCTTGCCCAGAAAGAAATAGGTTTGAATAATAGCCAATGTTCAACCAATATTCAAAGGGGAAACGAGAACAAATGCCAGTGCTTAGGAATGCCTGGGAGAAGGAATAGAACTACATCGGGTTACCTCTCCAACTAGAACTGCAAGGTCTTAGGACGACTTTCTTACCCAAGGGATGAAATCACTCAAAAAAACGAGATCCCAGGAAAGGAAAAAGCCCCAGAGAAGGGGGGAAGAGGCTCAGAATAGGGCGTGATAGAGACAGGGATAGGCACTTACCTTGTAACAGCCTACCGGTGACCGCCTCGTCTATGTACTCGGCGCCTTTGGGCGGAGCTTTCTCGATCAACTATCTCCCTTTAAGACCAAGGGTAGATAGGAAGCGAACTCTCTCACGACGTTCTAAACCCACTCTAATTTTGTGCAGGTGATTCTTCTTCAATCTAGCCCGCGATAACGAGGGCCTTCACTCGAAAGCGAGTTCTTCGATAAGCGAGAATGAGCGATCCACTATATCGCTAAAAAAGGGTGCACCTCTCAGTAGAAGGGCGTAGCGGTGACTCGACTGAAAGGATATAGTGGAATAAAAGAAACGAAAGGGTAGAAAGTTCCTTTTTAACGTGAACCGGTCTGTTGCAACTCTCTCAACTTGCAACGCGCTATATACTCTACTCCACATTTTCGGGGTGGAATTGCTCTCGTTTGAGCTCTTGTGCTAATGGTGCACCGATTGTTTTGAATGTCTTCAACCTTCGATCGCCACCACAGTTTGGCATCCCCAGTGAAGTACATTGTGGCTATGGTAACCTTGTGCTCCTCTGAATCGGTTCGGACCACCCGACAGTCTTGTTCCATGTCAAAGAGAAAGTTCTCATCTACCTCTTTGGCATCTATATTACCCCGGCCCGGGGTTCTGGCAATTTCACCCGTCCGCATCGAAGGTCCGAAATCAAATTGTTGGCATTGCGCATCAACAGACTCACCTTGGCATTGAGCTCCTGCAAATCATTTTGCAAGGTATTCACGGTCTCTTTTACATTATCTGTAAAAAATTCAAAAGCGTCACTTTGAGAGGCCTCAAGCTCTGTTGGCCGATCCGAAGAACTAGGGAGTATCGCTAGATGATTCTCAAGTTCAGAAATCTTTACTTCGAGCGTCTCAATGCGCTTAGTTTGAGCTGCGGACAAAGCCACCTCAAGGTCTTTCTCTAATGCTTCGATGCGAGCGATCTTGGCACTTTTGGCCATGGGTGCTTTTATATCCCACAATCGATTTGAAGCTCTGATACCAACTTTCACGGGCCCAACTAGTCACTCCCCCCTAAAGAGCATAAGGAGCGTGTGAACTTGTGGTAGAAGGAGACATCAAGATGCTGGAGGTGTCACACCCCTTGAAATTACAAAATAAATGCATTTGTCAAGTACAATATTTCCACTCCCATGTTCTCCACAACTATACTACATGTAAAAGAATTGGCCTATGACACTCTCCCTGGTCGACGTCCTCGTTTCCGGGATTCCTCCACTTGACTAGAAACTCGCGGCGTGGCCTCCGTGACACTGTGATGACTCTCTCCGCTAGTCTCTCTTCCGCTTCTTTGCTCGGTTGTCGCTTGCTGTTGATGGCTGGTCGATTGCGCTCTGCATCTTCTGGATCAGCATGATATGGCTATGGCTTGAGAAAACTGACATGAAACACTGGGTGGACTTTCCACCAATCTGGTGGATCAATCTTGTATGAAGCTTTGCCCACTCTATGACTGGAAACTGGCCCTTCATACTTGCGGATGAGTCTTTTGTCTTGATTTCCGAGGAATCTGAGTTATTCTGGAGATAGCTTCACCAATACCATGTCGCCAACCTTAAATTCTGGAGGCCCATGTCTGCCCACTTCTTCATGCGCTTTGGGGCTTTCTCAAGATAAGCTCGAGCAATGTCTGCATTTTGCCTCCACTCCTTGGTGAAATTGAAGGCCTGGGGACTCTTTCCTTCGTACTTGTCAACGGTATTTGGTAACAATGGTTGTTGACTTGTAACAAGCTCAAAGGGACTTTTGTTAGTTGAAGAGCTCTTCTAGGAGTGAAAACATAATTTTGCTACATCAAGTAGTTGCACCCGGTTGGCATTAACGAAATGTCGCAAAGACTCTTCAAGGAGAACATTAAACTGCTCTGTCTTGGCCATCAGTTTGTGGGTGATAGCTAGAGGAGATCTTTCATTTAGATCCCAGAAGGTTCCTGTGAATCTTGAGTCCTGATCACTGACAATGTTCTGTGGCACACCCCAATACTTAACAACGTATTTGAACAATCCAGCAGTCTTTTTGGCGGAACAGCTTTTGGAGTGGGGATAAAGGTTGCATATTTTGAGAGTCTATCCCCAAACCACCAGAATACAACTGTTGTCCCCCACCTTCGGAAGGCTTGAGATTCAATCTAAGGGGAAACTCTCCCAAGGCCCGACTTGGTACTGGGAGTGTTTCCAAGAACCCTGCGGTCTTCTTCCTTTCAACTTTATCTTGCTGGCAAAGTTAGACAAGTTTTGGTGTACTCTATTGCATCGTCTTTTATTTCTGGCCAATAGTACCCTTGCTTTACTAAGGCGAAAGTCCTCTGCCAGCCCAGCCCGGATGACCCGCCCGTCATGACATTCTCGTAGGAGTACCTTCCTAAAATCTCCAACCTTCGGTACAAACAATCGGTGCCCCTTTCCTTTTTGTCATCAAAAGTCCGTCCTCCACCCAGAACTGACGGGTCTTCCCTTCTCGCATCAAATTCAGGAGGGCTTGAGCCGTAGGATCTTTAGACTAATTCTCCTTAAGATGTTCCCGCACTGAGGTTGCCACTTGGCTGGCGGAGGTGTGGGAAAGGTATTTAAAGCTGCTAGTTTTTTTTTTTTTTTTTTTTTTTTTTTTTTTTTTTTTTTTTTTTTTTTTTTTTTTTTTTTTTTTTTTTTTTTTTTTTTTTTTTTTTTTTTTTTTTTTTTTTTTTTTTTTTTTTTTTTTTTTTTTTTTTTTTTTTTTTTTTTTTTTTTTTTTTTTTTTTTTTTTTTTTTTTTTTTTTTTTTTTTTTTTTTTTTTTTTTTTTTTTTTTTTTTTTTTTTTTTTTTTTTTTTTTTTTTTTTTTTTTTTTTTTTTTTTTTTTTTTTTTTTTTTTTTTTTTTTTTTTTTTTTTTTTTTTTTTTTTTTTTTTTTTTTTTTTTTTTTTTTTTTTTTTTTTTTTTTTTTTTTTTTTTTTTTTTTTTTTTTTTTTTTTTTTTTTTTTTTTTTTTTTTTTTTTTTTCAAATTTGAAGTACTCCTGGGGGATCTGGGGTTGGACTTTGATTGGACTACTAGCGGCCCAAGGCTGGGTTTATTTAAAAACGCTAAACTCAAAAAAACCCCGACCGAATGGACCGGTTTTTTTTTTTCTTTATTTTATTTTTATAAATAAAGCGTTATTGGAGAAGGGGTAATCAAAACATTATCTGCGAAGTTATGTCAGTGCCAAACCAACGCGTGGGCCACTTGGCTTTCTGGGCTGAGTGGTGGTATAACTCCACTTTCCAGTCCGCCATTTAGATGACCCCTTTGAGGCCATTTATGGATAATCCCTTTCCCACTATTTCAACTTACTTACTAGTTCTTCCTGTTTACTTGGTTGACACTACTTTGTGTGATCGTGATGCATTGCTTCGTCGCTTGAAGGAGAACCTTTAGTTGGCTCAGGTTGGTGATTGGGTCTTCCTTCGCCTCCAGACACATCGCCAGACTTTTGTGAGCAAGAACCATTGCCCCAAACTAGCCCCTCGTTATTACGGGCCTTATTAGATTATGGCTCGTGTGGGTAAGGTGGCATATACTCTGGCACTCTCCTCCTCATTCTCGTATTCATCCCACTTTCCATGTTTCTCTCTTGAAACCTAAGGTGGGCGCTCATGTCATTCCATCTACCACACTCCCACCCATGTCTGCAACTGGGGAAATTGTCTAGACACCCGAACAGATTTTGCAACGCGAAATTTGCACCCGTAACAACATTGATGTGAAGCATTGGATTATCAAATGGCTGGGTCTTCCAACCCATGACGCCACTTGGGAAGATGTCGCTACCATTCAAGACCTCTTCCCTAACTTTTCAGCCTAAGGCATGTCGTATTTTAAAGGGGGGAGGAATGTTACACTCTTGGATTGGGCTCACACTGGGCTCATATATTAGATATTATCTGATATCTATATTGTAATTCCAATTATTGTAAGGAAATTTGCTAGAAGTGCTGACGTCACATACTCACACTTTCTCCATTTCAAGTTGTATTAAAACTCTCTTCATTTCCATTGGAAGGCATGAATGAAAAAGAATCCTTTACAATTTGTTTTTCTGTGTCTTTTCTTCCTTTTACTCTCTGGTCCTAACAAGCCTAGTGGTTTTCCCTCCCCTTTATCACCTAGTTGGCCTGGGTTTGAAAAAAAAATCAATAACTTAAAAAAAAAATATTATAAATTATATGTTTTTTTACTTAATTTTATATATATTTGGTCTTAGCTGTCACAATTTCATTAGTTGCTGTATCATGGATGCCACATGGATTTACAACAAGTTGTAATCCTTTTTGCGAAATAGAACCTTTGTCCTGTATTTTTATTTTTTTATGGACATTATTGTCCTTATGTTAAACCTCACACATCAATTTGATCACACATGGAGATTCGTTCAATTTTGTAAATTGTTGACACTGACCATATGTGGTGCACACATGAGCCATGAGAAAATGTCAACTGGATCTAAATGAAGAAATGTTTTTTTTAAAGAGGGGGAAAATTAAAAATCTTAAATTTTTAATTTTTTTTTTTTTAACATAGAGGAATTCAAAATGTTACATTTTTGTTATCATATCACTGGATGATACTAAGGACATGTAGCTCACATACATGTGCATCAAATCCATTAAGTTTTGTTGAAAACACCTAACCCTAAACCCTTTTTTAAATAGTTTAACATTTAATTTAAATTTTTAAATTAATAAGAGAGAAAAATTTCGAAAACATAAATTTTTTTATTCCAATCCACTTGGCATGTTATTATTGGACATGTAGGTTCCACATACATGTCATGTCAAATCCGTAGGTTCTGTTGAAATTTTCATCAATTTAACATAAATTTCAACAAAACCTACCGGATTTGACGTGATATGTTATGGAGCCTACTGTCCAATAATAACATGTCAAGTGGATTTGAATAAAAAAAAATTATGTTTTGAAAATTTTCTCTTTTTTATTAAATTTTTTCTAAAAGTTTTTTAAATGTAAAACTATTTTTAAAAAATATAAAAGACCAATAATGTCAAAATAATAATAATAATAAGGACCCAAGGTGATAATTTCACAAACCTCATGGACCATTTGTGATAAACCCCAAAATGTTTAGAACATTGTTTAATCCACGTGGCGTCCACATCAGCAATGTAACGGAAAATTTGGACGGAACCTAATGACGGGGACCCAAATTGATGTGTGAGGTGTAACATAAGGGACCAATAATGTCTGGAAAAAAAAAAAAAAAAAAAAAAAAAGGACCGAATGTAATAATTTGGGAAACTTAAGGACCATTTGTGATAAAAACCCCAAAACATAAATACATTACAGATGAGATCCCCTTGGGATCTTAGTACCATACATATCAAAGTAAACTCTAGTCATTAAATCCACCGGAAAATTACTAAAACCAAATGCATAAATTATTATACCCATGCCCTCCTTTAGCTAATTGGTCAACAACACTATTAGCTTCTTTTAAACATGCTTGATTGTCAAAAAAACTATAATTCCAAGAAATTGCCATATATCTTCCGCAAGTGATCATAAACTCCATGATATATTGGCTTGCCCAGTGATGATTTGTATAAGCGTCTTAGAATCCCCTCCAATTTCCACCTACAAAATCTTTAATCTTGTTGCCCAATTAATGTTGTTTGAAAGCAAGGCTTTAGCCTGTAAAGCAGATGTATAAACTAAGGGACAGGATCCTACATAACCAGATGAGCTTGTGCATTTCGATGACAAAGCCTACAATTGAGTTTCCATTGGATATAAAACAGAGCCATCAAAGTTTTTGGTAGGATAATTTTTCTTCCGTTTACTGTACCAAAGTTTTCAGTAAAATCAAATCAGTTAACCAAAGTTTAGTTCAATACATAGGTAGTATCTTTACAAAAAAAGAAATGCTAAGTATCCCTACTACATATAATTAGAATATTGAAATTGACATCATAGAATTACCAAGAATTTCACAATTGGACTAAATCAAACTGTGGTAGAGAAATACTAAGAATTCATTGTTAGATGTATGCTCTTAAAGACAACTAATTATGTAATAGTTAGAATTAAGGGACATATTGTAATGACTTATTAAGTTACTTATGGGCAAGATCAATTGTTTGAATTCATGAAGGGGGACCTTGAGGGTGTGCAAATGGTGCCACCACACAAGGTCCCTAATTTCTAAGGGCCTTGAAATTTTTTTAAGTGTATATTATGTATATTGATATTATAGGTATATATATTTGAGCGTGCAGGAAAGTAACACAAGTGTTATATTTGGTTGAGTTGGAATTCATCCCCTTAATTTTAGTAGGCAAGTTGAGTTTGAATCCATATTGTGTCATTCAGTAGTTGTATTCTTTACATTCCTATTTTTATTATTATAAATAATTCGGTATAAGTCCAATTCTTATGACAGAATTTGGGTGTCCACACACTTATTGTTAGTAATCCAAGTCTTTTGACTTTTGTGCCATATAGGATTAGTTACCTTTCTTAATTTTGACATTTATATTTTAATATTTTAATATTTTTAAATTTATGTTGTGGTTCCAAATTTGGCCCTAAGATATATAAATAAGGTAAGTAATGGCAAAAATCCTCAGACGGCAAGAGCAACAAATCGCAAAAATCACGTCCTCCAGAATCAATCGTGGTCCTGTCAAGCCAATTTTTGCATATTTCATGCTTCTTAATTGCCGAGGTTTTTGGGTTTCAATTGAGGGTTGACTGTTATGAGTATGGAAGGAATTTGCCTTTGGGGTTTTTTTACCTTTCGTCTTCGTTAATTGCAGCCGATGGAATTTGCCGTCATTGGGGGTTTCTCACCTTGTGTCTCCATCAATTGCAGTGCCCGTGTTTCAGGTATGTTGTACATTTACAGGTGGGAACAATTACGAATACAGAGAGTACCTGTATCAATTGAAGTGCATGCATCTCCATCAATTTCATTCACAAATGATTACGAATACAAAGATTACCTGTAAGAGAGGTTCATAGGTACAAATTTGTACCAATTGAATGAGCCATAATAGAGTTAAGGAAATGTATTCTTTTTCTTCTATAGCCTCCTTCTTGCAATATAGTTGATATATTGCTGATTGAGATTGAGACTTTCTTTTCTTTCTTTTCATTTTTTGATTGAGATTGAGACTTTTCTTTTCTTTTCTTTTCGTTTTTTGATTGAGATTGAGAGTTTCTTCATAATTGATATATGACATAATTTCATTCACATAACGATTCTGTGAATGTTGTCAGTTGCACAAGAACAATTTAACAAAATTCCATCCCCGTTTATGGTTGTAAATAGGAACAATTTTTTCTTTTTTGTTCTGGCAAATCGAAATTTGTTTGATGGCTTAAATGGATGTGGTTGCTTTCTTAATTGGATGCTTTCTTAATGGCATATCATCATTTGCAGGTTCTTTATGGCTAGGAAGGAGTATCGCTCCCTCTAATACAGGTCAGCATTGTACCTACAGCACCTGTGCTCCAGATATATACACATTTGACTCACTATCTTATAGGTAACCACCGACATTGTACCTACAGCACCTATACCATAGGTACTGTGTTAGAGATTACTTGTAAGAGAGGTTCATAGATACAAATTCGAAACAGAGAATCTTAAATTGTTAATCAAGTTTCAAAACAGAGAATGCACTACAACTAAAATAGAGAACGACAAACCGAATTCTGACTGTTATTTTGACATAATTTACTTATCCCTTCTATCCCTTAGCAAGAAAGGTTCAATTGTGTATTGTAACCCTTCTCCATACACTTATAATGGACAACATTGGGCCAATAGAGTGGCAAAAAAGAGTTAAAATGTTGAAATTTTCACTTCAACATTTCTAATTTCAGATTTTTTTTTTTTCCAGACCTCAAAAATAACATCTAATTAAGCAAAACGATTAATGAGCCCTAGGTACAAATTTCTAGCAAAATGATTCACCAATTAACTAATGAGCCAACAAAAAAATTTGATATGGCAGAACAAAAAATATGGATTACTGGCGCCATTCACATGGATGGAATTTTGTTAAAACGACATTTGACTAATTACCTATACAATAAGGATATTAGCCAAAACCCCAATACCTACAAATTAATTATGATCTCTGTTTATTAGCCAAAGCCCCATACCTAACCCCAGTTATGATCTCTGTCTGTTAGCCAAAATCCCAATTATACGGCAGGAACTAAGATGTATGAGATTTTGGAAACCCCAGTTATGATCTCTAATCAAACTTGAAGATATAGAAAAACAAGAACTAAGAGGTGTGAGAATTTGGAAACCTTGTGGTTGCGTGTCAGTTTTCTACAAAATAGAGATGCTCGCTGATTTTGAAAATTGAAGCTCGCTGAGAATTGAAAATTGAAGCTCGCTGAGAATTGAAAATGAAGCTCGCTGAGAATTGAAAATTGAAGCTCGCTGAGAATTGAAAATTTACTTGGAATACAGGAACTTCAATTGACGGCACGACTGAGGATAATCCATATGCTCACTGATTTTGGCCATAGGGTCTTCCATATGTAATTGTGAATCATAAGTAGGAAGCCACAAATCTTCCCATTAAAGCACCAAAAATTAGTGGAATTTTGTAACGAAGCAGCAAGACTATTTGGGATCAACCATGATTTTGGCGATCTATCGTTCTCCCTCCTTCAGCTTCCGTGTTTACATAATGGCAGGAGTTGTAAATACATAAAATTGGTGGATGGTATTGCTTAGTGTAGGGGACTTTTTCTTCCTGCAGCTAACGGGCTGGGCTGCTGCAAAAGGTGGACTGAGGAGATTGCCCCTTTTCGTTTAGGTTCGAAAATTAAGCCTCAAAATACCTCGAAAGGGCAGCGAAACCTTAGGAGATATTTTGAGTAATCTTCACCAATGAGAATAATAGTGACTTACAGATAATTTTGGCATGCTTTCAGATGGTTTTTAGGCTCAGCATGAGTGGCATGAGGCATGGAGAGCAAAACCAACATGGGTTTAGCACTAAGAGAGAAATTAGGCTTGGTTTATGAGGAATGAAAGTGTTTAAGTAAGGAATGGGGTGTTTTGTGAGGAATTTTGGCTAGAGAAAGAGAAAAAGAGAGACAGGGTTCTTCCAGCAGCTACCAGAAGAACAAATTGGAGAAGAAGATGAACAGTGCACGAATCTAAGTTTTGCAAGATAGAGAGAAAAGCTTGCTCTCTGCAGGTTGTGAGTTGTGTTTGTTGGGTAGGGGAAGGCTCAATTTATAGCTGCCGGAAATCACCATTTTTCAAGAAACCCTAATGGCTCCTTCTTACTTTGGCTGAGATTTTCTTCCTTTCTCCTCCCCTTCTCTGACTTCCCTTTCTTGGCAAAGATGGCTTCTGTCTATCTTCATGAATTTAGGAGATTTTGGGGGCTCAACATCCCTCTTTCCCGCGGCTGTGCAATGAGGGCTTCCACTCTTAGTTTGCTGTTTTTCTTCCTTTTCTTTCCTCTTCCTTGGCTGAATCTGATGAAGGAAAGGAGGTGCAAATGTATGCTGGTCCAAGGGATGCTTCTGACAGCATGCAGGATGGTATTCATCGGTTCTTTGGATGTCTCTGGCTTGGGACTGGTTTCCAGCAGCTTACTTAAGGAGCCTGCCATCTACTCCTTCACGTGTTCTCTGTTTTTCAAAAAAAGGCTGAAGCTCTTGTGGGCCTTTTTCTGGGTTTTTCTAAGGGCCAAGATGGCTTTCTAAGCAAATGGGCTTATTGGGCTTGATTTGGGCTTATTATTATTTTTGGTTGGGTTATCTTTGGCTAGGTTATTTTGCTTGGGCTTTTGGGCTATTTTTCTCTCTTGTGCCTACCCACATGTTTGGACCTAAGAAATGGGCTTGAGTCTCGAGGCTCCCAAGCAACCCGAGACTTTCCATTTCTTGGTCCATCAATGGGCCTCATGTTGATTTATTACCATCCATGCCACAACCCACTCAAGCAAGCCCCGGGTCTTTTTTGAGTGGCTTGGGCCCACCTAGGCTTGTAGCGTGGTTGGGTGCGAGATAACGGCACGGCATGTTGCTCGGCATATTTTACTTTATCGCCCTTGGGAAGGATTGTTTTAATTTTTTGTGGCATGATTATATTTTATCATAGCATGATAATTTGTTTATTTAGCGTGGCGTGTGGGTTATAACTTGCATGCGATAGATCCCTTTTTCTTTTCCCTTATGAAATATTGTATTGGGCTGATAATTGTTCGGGCCCAATCCATGGATTTTTTGGGCCTCAACATTAGCCCCCTTAATTATAAGGGCCATGAACAGGTGCTGGAATGGGCCGAATAATTAAACCCAACCCAAAAAATCAGATTTGTATTTGCATAGGACTCTTCTTCTTCCCGCGTGCAAAATGACGGCGTGCCATGATTGGTCCCGGTGGTTACTTGCAGTTTCCAACGCCAACTGCCTTCCTCTCCTTATTTTATTATTTTCCTCCCTTTTCTTTCTCTTTTCTTGCATCAGACATCGGTTTCCAAAATTTCCTTCTCCTTTCCACGCTCCAGACCAAAACTTCCCTCTAACTCTCCTCCCTTCGTTCTTCTTCTTTCTTCTCCATAAATTCAAATATACTGAAAGAGTGAAGTCAGGCCAAAATGTTTACCTCCAGCCGCTGAGAAGAAGACCCAAGTCGAACCCGACCCCGTCGTTCCATCTTCGTTCCAAAGGAGCCCGTTCGTCGCTGCTGGAAAGGTCCTTTTTGTGCGAATTTTGTCTTCAAATCCCTGATTTTCTTCTCTTTTGGTGCATTCGACGTCATCCCTTGGAAGATTTAACAAGGTACCCTCCTTTTTCCAGTTTTCCTTTAGATGGATTTGGAGAATTTGTTGGGTTTCTCATACCCATAGATGTTGCCTTTTGTTTTGGCAGCCAAATACCAAAACCCCCCCTTTTCTACCCATCTTGTTTCCGCTGCACCAATAGTGCTCACGGAGTGGGTGCTAGCAAGGAAGGGCCCGCGCCATTGTCTAGATTTCTTCCTTCGTTGATTTTGCTCGAGCTGCTGGAAAGGTAATTTCTTTCTTTCTTGTTGGCTTGGGTTTCTCCCCCTTCTTTTTATTTTGCACGGGCCTCCCTTTTGTGTGTAAAAGGCTGATTTGGCATGACGTGCTTTCCCTTTGTTTATTTTTTTGTGCAGGTACACGCATCTTGGGCACAGGTAGGTGCTGGAAAACCCTTGACATTTTGCTGCTGGAACCTTCGAAACTCTTCAGTCTTCTAACTTAGACTTTGGCAATAACTCTGCTAACTCTGAGTATTTTAGAATAGGTGTAGACTGATGCTTGGCTTAGGCTCTCCTTTTTTTTCTTTTCTTGAGAACACATGCTTGATCGATTATGGAATTCTGCGTGTGTTGCCTGTGGAGGAAGATAATTGACAGAGTGCATGTTTTGTACTGCTTCTGATTTTTTTTTTTTTTTTATTTATTTTGATTTGAAGGGACTTGCTTGTCCTGCTTGTTGATCACAAAGCGAGACTCTTACTTGTCATGAGCTTGAATTTTAAATTGCATGTTTGCTTGGATAAACTCAACTAGCCCCGTATTTTGCGTGTGCTGATTCTATTTTGCTTCTTTCCATGTTTCTATGCGCAGGTACCCATTATGGCATCCGGTAATCCACCATTTATCATAAGGGATCATCTTTACTCCGTAGATGACAAGTTGAAGAGAGGGAGACCTCCTCCTTTGCTTAAGGGTACCGACGAGGATGTAATTATTGATGAAGAACCAGCGCCAGAAGCTACTTCAGTGATTGACCCTGCGTCCGTATCAAGGTGCTGCATAGAAAGGGGTCTGTTTCCGGCAGTTCCTTTGTTCTTTCAATATCCCTGCAGCACCAGCAAGGGTTGGTCGGAGTGGGTTGATGCTGAACTGAAGAACCCCATCTACCCGTGATATCCTAAGCCGGGCAGGCGTGTTGGAAGCCATCTTTGCTTCTAAGGCTTGCGACATCCATATTGAAGTCAAGACGCTTCGACACTTGGTTAGACGGTGGAGCACTGAGACGCACACTTTTATTTGTTCGTGGGGAGAGTTCACTCCCACGCTTGAGGATGTAGCTAATATCTTCCATCTCCCACTTTGTGGCAGCCAAGATCCTTTCCACATTGCATTAACCGCGGAAGATGGGCCAAAGCTTGAGATTTGCGGAAGGGTGCCCCGACCTCTCCTAGTACCTCTCTAAGATTCAGTAATTGGATTCAGTTTTTTGGGAACAGTGATCGAGACGAGCTTGTCGCCTTGCTGCGTTTGTGTCCTTGTGGCTCGGGAGGTTCCTCTTTTGTGATTTTTCTCAAGACTGCTTGCATGGGAGAGTGTTTCCGTTGGCTTTGGCAATAGCACGAGGTAGCATGATCCCTTTAGCCCCCATGTTCTTGGGGCACTTATATCGCTTGCTTGACCAGATTCAATTTCTTGAGAAGGGGGCGGCCGGAACCATGGCTGTGGAGACTTTTGTAAACTCCAGTTTTCTGCAGATCTTTTTATGGGAACGCTTCAAAGGGATAGAGGTATCTCCACTCCCTTATTCAAAGGCTGAGTCACTGGTTGCTTCGGACGAGGATTCCTACGTGCCGGGTAGTCTTCCTCTGATCTGTAGATGGTTCCGTCGCATGCAACGGAAGGGCCAAAATTTTTTAGAGCTGCTGGACGATGTTGAGCAATTTATTTTTCGCCCCTATTGTGCCTCATCAGAGGGCTTTAAAGTATGCCCCTCTATGCTGATTCTGCTGCTTTAATGGAGGCCCTGGCCATGCCAACACAAGGTTGTCGGTTACGCAGAGAGGCATTGTTGAGTGCCGCATGCCTCCCTCTGCCCACATTCGGTGATGACCACTTGGAGATTTCTGTGCATTATTCCCCTTACCGGGTTAGACGACAGCTTGGGTTTGACCAAGGGTGTGCCCTCTCGTCCCAACCATGGAGGTTCCTTGAGCTTGCACAGGGTTTTCTGGACTGGTGACAGTGTGCCGGGAGACGGCAGGCCTCTTGCCCTTGCTCTGGCCATCCGGCAGCGCGTTGGTGGTCTCTCAAAGGCCTACCAAAATTATTGGAACCGTTGCTTTGCCTCGCTCAGCCGATTCCATGCTGCCCACTGTGATAGATTGATTCCCACCATCATTCATCATGCCCGTTTAGTGTCGGAAGAGAAAGCGATTTCCTTGAGCGAGAAGCGAAATCTGCCTTTTATCTTTTTTTTTTTTTTTTTTTTTTTTTTTTTTTTTTTTTTTTTTTTTTTTTTTTTTTTTTTTTTTTTTTTTTTTTTTTTTTTTTTTTTTTTTTTTTTTTTTTTTTTTTTTTTTTTTTTTTTTTTTTTTTTTTTTTTTTTTTTTTTTTTTTTTTTTTTTTTTTTTTTTTTTTTTTTTTTTTTTTTTTTTTTTTTTTTTTTTTTTTTTTTTTTTTTTTTTTTTTTTTTTTTTTTTTTTTTTTTTTTTTTTTTTTTTTTTTTTTTTTTTTTTTTTTTTTTTTTTTTTTTTTTTTTTTTTTTTTTTTTTTTTTTTTTTTTTTTTTTTTTTTTTTTTTTTTTTTTTTTTTTTTTTTTTTTTTTTTTTTTTTTTTTTTTTTTTTTTTTTTTTTTTTAAAATCCCAACGCCCCCCCTCCCCCCACACCGCCCATGAAGTTCTTGAATCTGAAGCTGAAACGGACTTGGAAGAGGAACAAGACATGGCTGTAGACAATCGAACAATCAAGGAACTTTCAACCTCTGGATTGGACACTGCAGTCCCTCTTTGCATTCAATACCCTAGGGCGGCTGCAGGTAAGACCGATGAGTTTGAATTGAAGTCGAGTTTGCTACATCACATTCCCAAATACCATGGGCTGTCCATGGAAGATCCAAACAAGCATTTGAAGGAATTTGAAGTAGTATGTTCAAGTATGACACCCATTAACGTGGATGGGAATATTTTGAAGATGAAAGCCTTCCCATTCTCTCTTATGGACAAGGCTAAAGATTGGCTCTTATGGAAGAGGAACAAGAGAGGATTCTGCCTTTGCAGCTTTTCTTTTGTTTTCAGGAAGGCGAAATGCCTAACGAAACGTGGCCGTTTCAGTTCATGAGTAAGTGCTAGGGCCAAGAGGAAGTCCCTTCAGTCAGTTTATGACCATGGTTTATTAGGCACAAACAGTAGATAGTAATCTGGACAAAGTAATTGCTGAATTGCCGAATGTCGTAGTTACCTTGTTTTGGGGACTTGTGTCCTTATTTATAGACTCTGGGAGATGTGCATCTTGAGTAGAATTTTGATGTAGGACTATGAGCATTACCTGAGGAGGTGCCACGTGTACCTGTGAGGAGGAATTCTTAATGAAGTGCGTCTTTTGCTACGATCGACAATCCAAGGTGCCGAAGGCTCACATTCTGCCGATGGTGCTTTGAGAAGCACAAGTGATTACCGATTTTAGTTGGTCCTCTCGTGGGTCCCTTATTTTGCATGTCAGCTTCTAATTGACCAGGTTAGATATGGTATAAACATTTGTTTAATGTGCAGTCTCAATTTTACGCACATCATTTATGCATTTCTACAGGTCTCATTACTTACAACAATTTTATTTGAACTAATTCAGCCTATAAGAAGAATCACTAGGGATTTAGGGACATTTGAAATAATGTAGACCCAATGAATTTATCCTCATAGACATATTGTGCTCCGGTGAAATAGATTTACAGTGAGTAGTCAAAAAATAAATTCTAAAACCGGACCCAGCATCGTGTGCATTGTGCCATACAATCTCCCTTGCAATCAACATTGAAACCCAATACTCTTGGATTTCGAAGGAGGAGGTTACGCAAAGATTTCCCTTTTATACCCCATTCCTTCTCCAACACCTGCACATTGGTTTTCAACTCATGTTCAAGATTACATCCAAGAACCTCCGGAAATTTTTTGAGCAACTTACATAGGTCATCGTCAGAGAGGCTTAAGCTCCGAAGGTAGTCCAGTTTTTCTTTTACAATCTCAATAGTTGGTACCTCCTTTTTCCGTATTTCACCCCAGTAAGGTGAATGAACCAAGCCAAATGCTTTTCCAAGTATCTTGTCTCCCTCTTCAATAGTGATACTAAATGCAGATATAGCTTCCTGGCATGCTTCCCATGTCTTCCTCTCTTCATCAGTCAAAGCTGTATTTTCAATTTCTGCAGTTGAATGTAACACCCATCTTTTGGGAGAGAAACTTGGTGAGTATGCCCTTCTGTTCAGATTTTGTGAAACATTTGGCAATCCGATATTTGGTGCAGCATTTATAACATCAGGCTGCAAGAAGAATTATCAGAATATTCTGTCAAATTTCAAAAGCAGAATGGAAATGCTAAAATTAGAAGTGATGCAAATGTTTGGAGACTAAAAGCAAAAAATTTTGAAGTCTGGAATACAACAAATAATAATGGCGAGAGTAGTGTAGAAAAAGTTACAACGTGAATTTATATCCATCAGCAAACAATATACATCTGCAATTTGTTCTGCCATAATTTTTTTCACATGACACTGACATCTGCAATTTATTATATGAATGCCATGAAATCTTTTGGGCTAATTTCTCAGAGTTGTTTTATTATTTCTTTATAAGCAAAATGCTTTTAGTTACCCAATTAATTTTTTGTTTCTTGGTAATATTTAGTAACAATTTTGTATTTCTTTTTAAATTCTTGAGAAATGAAAGCTGTTTCTTGGGAGAAAAAAAAAAGGTGATTTAAACCATGGAATCAGGTAGAAGGGCTTTAAAGAAGTCAAAGCTAGGATTTCAGTTCGGAGAAAGGACTAAGAGAACCAGAGGCTCGAACAATTCTTAGATTGATATAAATAATTCTTTGATACAAAAGCAGAGGCAATGTAAGCCTTTATATACAGTTGCTAACAACATGAAGTCCACTTCCTTCCCACCTTTGCCCTTATAACCCAGAAAACTACAAACCATACTAAAAAAACTCAAGCCTGCATCCCGAAACAAGTACCACAATTTGAAAGCAATAAAGCAGTGAACGTAAGGACGATCAGCTGCCTCTTTGCACGTGGTATACTAATGAGGGATAAGCTAAAATTAGGACCTTTAGAACAAGACATATCATAGACTAATTGACTACATAAGACTTGCACGAAAAAAACGGCAAAAGCATTAAATTTGACAAACGAACCTAAATTTGGTTCTTGTGTATTGACAAGACTAACAAGTTCTTAATTTAGTTGTACTTCTCTTCGTAATGGTTGAAGATTATACAAGTTTAAGACCCGTTTCTCTTTTGATAAAAAAGAAGAAACAGGTAATGAGGAAAAAACCCAATAAACTGCCTATAAGATCTGTGAATTATTACGCATAAAGTTAGATTTGATACTCATCTGACACAAAAAAATAAACTGAGGGATGAATTAAAATTCATGTACTGAATTGGGACACATTTAAGTCATCATCTCACACTTTTCGGCACATAATGGCCTGTGCTCCCTCCCTCCCTCCCCCAGTCCCTCCCTCTCTTCTATCTTTTACATTTTAAAGGGAACTGATTTTCCCACTCCTCTTTTGTCCACTTACACTCCCTTTTTTGTTATATTAAAAAGTATTAAAAAACAAAATGGAGTTTAAGTGGACAACAGTGGAGTGGGAAAATCAGCACCCTTTTAAAGTAGGCGATAATTTAAAATAATAAAATCTGACAAACAAAACCTTTTTAATCTAAAAAGCAATGTTGAAACTCAAAGATCAATCACTTCCTTCACTTTTCCCCAGCCAAAACACAACTCTAATGATTTCAGCTCTTTTTGGTGCTTTTTCCTTTTCTTTTTAATATTCACAGAAAGCCTTAAAATAAATATTTTAAAAAAAGGAAAGGAAAAGAAAGAAAAGAAAATCATTACTAGAAGTCTGGACGCTAGAGTCTAGAGTGCAAGTGGAGTGAAATTAAATTAAAATGCAAGAATGGCTCAGCACAGGCAGCCAGGGATGGAGAGGTTGGGACTACGTGGCCACAATCTCCACCATTCCCCCTTTGCCCTTATAACCCAGAAAACTAAAACACACACTAAAATTCCACAAATCTTTGGTCTTTTCCTTCCAACAAAACGATAATGTTTGTCAGTAAATAAAGATACACAGGAAGATGTTATCACTAAATTCAACTTTGCTTCCCGAAACAAATAACACAATTTCAAAGCACCCATACACAATTTCAAAACACAACTCTAATGATCTGTCTCAACTTTGCTTCGCATGTGGTATACCAATGAGGTGATGAGCTAAAATTAGGACCTTCAGAATGAGACAGATCATAGATTTATTGGCTACAGACTTGCATGAGAACTGCTATAGCACTAAATTTTCCAATACCTACATAATCTCAATGGACGTAACATGACATTTTCAATCAAAGAGCATGGAGTAAAAAAACCAACCAACAACACAATCATTCACATTTGTATGTAAAGTGAGCTTTCAGCCCACTGGAAAAGAAGAGGGGACCCAAAAACCGAGCTATGACAACCTAACATTAAGTAAAAGAGCAGAGGGGACCAGAAACCTAGCCATGACAAGTGGAAAAATCACAATTTCAAAATCATTCAAGTTTTTAAGTTGATTTCAACATGTAGCATCAATAATCAATGGTGTTATAACAAACAAGAGTCATGGCAATTTAAGATTATTAATATTTCCTTGAAATAGTACTTACAGTGGAAAAGCAAAAGCGTGTTGCACAATCATGAGTTAGCAATGGAGAAGCTAAAGATTTTCCTAGCATTCCTGAACTGTCAAAAGAAAATTAGAACAAGAGTCAAATGAAAAGTCAATAAAGTCAAACAAACAAAACAGCTGACAGATGGTCAGTAATAACTATATGTTGAAGAGTGAAAATGAAACCAAACACCAAAACAAAACACAAAATAAAAAAACGGAACAGAGATAACGAGAATTCAATTGATGTCCTTATATGAAACTATGTATTCAGTAGACTAAACCATCATATCCATATAGTAAAGAGAAACAGATTGAAGAGAATGATTTTCGCTATATCAGAAAAGAGATGACAAGAGTATAAATACAAGAGAGGTAGAGCTGCCACCTCAGCTCTCAATAACAAACTCTCATAACTGAAGCTAACAAATTTAGTAACAGAAGCTGATTTTAACCGTAGATCTTTGTCATTATAACACGTGTCATCATCTGTGGTTTTATAAAATATAGCACCTAAGAATTTATATCCTGTCAAAAAATTAACCTATAATCTTTCCCAGTAATAGCAAACATATCAAGGTATTATTATCAATATGCATACACCAAAATTTTGATCAACCTTTTCCCAAATACATTGACACTCAGATTAGCATTTTTTTCCCATAATCTCAAAAGTACTAAATTTTCTCAGAAGAACATGCACAAACCCAAAAGTAAATGGTGGTTGCTCAATTCAACTAAGCATCTGTCCAGAAAATGATATTCAAAAAAGGGATTCAACTATATTAGTATTTTTCTTTCTATATTTCTTCCAAACGAGTTGAAACCTTCACTGAATGATTTTCCTGCAATGCACCCATACATATCTCACAAAAATATTTCCCTTGCTACAATGTCCATATTATTTCTGCCCTCTTACCCATTTTGGCTCAATTAAGTCAGCAACCACAAAACAGAACAAGACCCACCAGCAGTCCAAAGTTCCAAACCTTCATCTAAAATTTGGGAAACCACTGGTTTAATTTTTTTCTTACAAAACAGTACAATCATTGAGCAATAATGAATTAAGAAAATGGATATTCAGAATCACAAAACAGCAGGAAACAACGCAGGCAATTTCATATTGATTTTTTCGGTCAGCAATAAAAAATGGAAGGGAGAAGATTGGGAAGAACAAAAAATACCCGAGAGTAGTAGAAGACGGTGTTAACCTGGTCACCAGCTCCAAAGGGCGACGGCGAATGTGCGAAGGAAGAGAGAGAGAGAGAGAGAGAGAGAGAGAGTGGCAGGAGAGAAGGTGGGTTCCACTCCAAATACGCGCGCCACAGATTTTTGGGGAGCGATCAAGTGGTCAACTCCCTCCGATTTTTCTTCAGTCCTGATGTTTGTCTTAAGGGTGTGTTTTAATCGAAATTTTAAAAGATTATTTAGAGATTAAAAAGTTTAGTGGATTTAAATAAAATGTAATGACTTATAGGATTTTATTTATAAATTTTTATAAGGGAGATTTACTATTATACCTAATATAGGAGCCTAAATCAAAAAAAAAAAAAAAACCTATATGAAATGGACCTTAGAAACACATCCAAAGCTCATTTTCAACGTAACAAAAAGGCTTTTAACTTCTTTTAAATTACAAAACTGCTATTAATTTCTTAAAACAAACTCAATCTCAAAACCTCATAAAAAAGCCCAAAACACTCAATAGGGAATCAAAATAATTTAATAATCAAAATTAAATTCAATAGGGCCAGCTATCATTTTTTGGGTTTTTTTTCGGTTTGTTTATAGAAATTAAATGGTGTAGAGTTTATTTATAATTTTAGTGCTAAGAATGGATATATGACTAAATATCTCTTTTTGTAATCAAGATCTTTTACTTATAAATTTAAATGATTTATATCATAGAATTTATAAAATTTGAAGGCATCACAAAGATTTAACAAAACACGATTTATAACATTGTGTAATTCTATTAGGAATGAAAACCACAAAACAAAAAACACATCTCCCTATTTATCTCTATTATAAAGCCTTGCCAAAGCGGTCGGGTTCACTGGGTTCACTGGTTTCACTACATGCAATTGATCGAAATGCATGTGTCAATGCTCATTCAATGTATTTGTGAACTTGGATTATTAATTTCTATTTTTAACAAATGTTCACTCCGAGAGGAAACAAGAAGGCTGGTGTAGGTGCAATTGGTGATTGTAGGAATTGAGTTTTCTATATTTCTGAAAAGAGATATTACAACCTATTTATATACAAGGTATATGATGGTAGGCCTATCAGTTACAACATAACGGAAATACATTGATAGCCTAATAATATCATAACACTAGAAGACAATGAAATGCTACCATTCATTGGCTTTAAACCACCCTTTACTAGTCATAACTCTGATAACTGCCTAACATTACCCCGTAAACTAGACACCGGTGATCAGTTAATAATTGTATATCATTTTGTACCATTCTCGCTTATGATTTCGTTTTGTTTTTGAGTTAAACTTGTGCTTTTAATCTCTTTTGTGTTAGTCATTCAGTTAATTGAGCTTAAGGTAGCAATGGTTGCTTTGGATAGGAAAAGATGAAAAATGGTGCAAAAACGTGCAGACTGAGTTAACAATTCAATTCAGCCTTAACATCTTCTTCTAACCTTGGATTGGACCAAATGACATGTGGTTGGAAAGTTAACATTCTGAACTTAAAGATGGAGGGCTTAAAGTCGTCATTTGCCTAAGGGAAGCCCAATTTGGAAGCCCATGAAGTTGCTAGTCATGCTGACCTAAGGATGAGCTAAGTGTGCTTGGCCATTCTGACCTAAGCATGAGGTGATTTCTGACGGTGGGAAAGTTAGGTGAGCTGATTCAAGTGGAGATTTCCAATAGTCACAAGAAGTAAAGAAGATGAAATGGGTGTTGTTGGTGAATTAATTTTCAATTGCATTGGTGTGTTAGGTGAAGTAGATGTGGTTGGTGAACTCAATTGTAAAATGACGAACCTTTATGAGAGTACGCCGCTCGATTTAGCCATGATTGCTCTCGATGCTAGGAAACCGAAAATAGGGCAACCTTCGGCGCCTTCGAGAGTGGCATTTGGTCATCCAACTTCTGGTAAATGGTGCATAGTAGCAATTGGCATACCTATGACGAGTTGATGAAGCAAGCTGCCATCCACGCGAAAGCAGAACACTTCAATTCAAAAATTGGGCCCTCGGTTTGGCAGGGAAAGTTGGATCAATGGAAATTCTCAGTACAAAAGCTTATGCATACTACCTCTGATAAATGTAATAGTTATCAGCCTAGCCATAAGCGTAAAGACGATTTTCAGCCTCTACAGGAAGGCTACAAGAAGAACAAAGGAAAGTATAATCACAACCCTCATCAAGGACCACTATCAAACCATGACCAAAGGCAGGAAGTCTTTACCCTGCTTAACACTTCATACGATGCCGTCCTCATGAATGAGCATGATATCATTCCCAAACCAGCCAACTAAAAGCCTAATCTACATGATAACAAGGATACAGGCAAATTTTGCCAGTATCACCAACACAACAGCCATGATACCGAACAATGTATTAGTCTGAGAAAGATCATCGAATGCCTAATTCGGGAAGTGATAGGATTTTTAGTACCTATGCAAATAGGGTTAAAATCACATAAAATACTTGCAAGAATACAAGGCTATTGTAGTATAGATGTTCATGCAAGGTCGTTCTCCTCAAGGACTATTTAGCAATTTATGTAAAAACAATTTCCAATTAACTACCTAAAATTAAAAGTTGAGAAAGGTGATTATGAGATTGTTTGATACTAAAAACAAATTTTAAACAAAAACAATTACGATTGAAGGAAAGAGTTTTAAATACCAATTTATAAAAGCACTAGGGTTTCACCATCACCTCGCAATCCTATAAATTTTTACCAATTACTTATGATTTGCACATGCCACTTTGAAGGTTAGGTTTTCCTAATTTATATTCTACTTGGAACCTCTAACATAGAACGTATATCCAACATGCAACCTGTCCGGACATTTGGATCAAATTTGAACATGAAAGACTCATTAAGTTATGTGAAAACCCTTTGAAAAACCATGCAACCCTTAAGACATGGTGTTCATCTTAAGTGAAATTACAATTATTAATCATAAGAAGCTAGCGTCAATTTCAGGGAACCTTCCGACTAAAATTGCATCCGATTATTTTTCTAAAGATCCTAATGGTGATCAGACATTAAGACAATTAGATAGTTTAAAATAGTGATTAACAATTCAAAGTATGCATGCACTCAATCATAAGCAATTAAATAAAAATTACATGTTCATGCTAAGGTTCAAGGCTTCACCCTAGCAAAAGAGAATTAGTTACGCATATTCATAATTGAAATCCAAGAAAATATCATTCGAATGAATAGAATGAAAACACCTTAAAGTTGCAAAAACTCCAAAAACCTAGCAATTGCTCTCCACGTTCAAGAGCCAAAAAAGAAGTCCTAAAATTGCTGTGAAAACCAACTTAAATACCTCTTAAAACCTAGCTGCCCAATCCCCACAAGGAAACTAAGTTGAAATAAAATAATACTAGGATATAAAATCCAAGTTGAATTAGGAGAATCTGCACAGCCACGTTTTAGCTACAAATCTCCTCCAAATCCAGCCCAAGATAGCTTGTTTTAAAGATAAAAACATTATGAACACTTCTCCAGAAGGCCACGAACCCATCCGAGGTCATCCTGGGCTCCAAAAACGCAATAAAAGCCCAAAACGTCACTATTCCAGCACAGCGCACTGCTCCTTTATTTTATTGCCAGAAAATAACCACTTGATAGAAAAATCTAAAATTTTGATACGATCAAGCTAAGTGACTCACGAACGTCTACCAACTGGAATTACTCCAAAATTCGTCTATTTGTTTATGTTTTGCTCCAGAGGAAGTCGAAAGTCCTATATTGGAAATATAATTCAAAGTATCAAAATTCTTCCAAAATATTAACCAAAATATACTAAGAATGGGGTTAAATATATAATATAAAATATACCCATCAGGAAGGCAAGCTAGATCAATATGTCGAAAGGCCACAACAGATATCAGCCTAAATGCCCAATCGACAGATCAATATGATTAACATTATCAATGGCGGCCCAACCCTAGTAAGGGCATTCAATCGGTCTATGAAACATTATGTCCGAGCAGCATAGTATCCCCAGGTCTTTAGCTTTGAAAGCGATCAACATCGGAAGGTGCCAAAGATCCCATGGGAACCCATCACCTTTTATGAGGAAGAAGATGAAGGGGTCCACTTCGCGCATGACAATCCCATGATCATCTGAGCCGAAATTGCTAACTTCAACGTAGGATGAGTCCTAGTCAATAAAGGCAACTCGATCAATATTATTTTCACCAATGCATTCGGAGAACTTGGGATTGAGGGCAAGCACAACTCACTCCTCTCCTTAGCTTTTTAGGAGACTTGGTCTAGCCAATCGGCAGTGTCAGCTTGCCCATAGCCTTTGACATGGCCTTGCGGAAAACCATGGTGTATGATTAGTTTCTCATCGTCAATTGCCCAATGACATATAACGTTATTATAGGCCGAACGACACTCATATGTTGCTCATGAAGTTCCCAACCTTCTACAGCACGAGAGTCATTAGGGGATATCAGCTCAGTGCATGAACTTTCTATGCAACAACACTCAAGTCAACGGCACTCAAGGCCCCTATGGAAGCATTGGCTAGTGTGCCAAACAACCTTGAAAAGCCAAACGATCCAAGAGATGAAACTCTTATGCCACAAGCTCAACTAGTCGAAGACATGGAAACAGTGATTTTGCACGAGAATCACCCCAACCAATATGTAAAGATCTGAGTTCATCCAGTTTTTCCGCCATCATTCCGAAGTGTTTGCCTTGTCGTATGATGACATGCCTGGCATCTCTCCTGATGTCATCTCCCACAAGCTCAGTATTTCTCCTGTTTACAAACCCGTGCTCTAGAAGTGAAGATCGTTGCCAAATGGTATGAAACAATGAAGACCGAAGTCGATAAGTTTCGCTCCATCAGCTTCATCCACGAGGCTACCTACCCGGTGTGGTTGGCAAATTCTGTAATGGTTTGGAAGGCGAAGGGCGGATTGATCAACTCTTTGATGCCACTACCAATCATGAATTGCTCAACTTTATGGATGTATACTCAGGCTACAATACACCTAGCTAATAGTGAACATACGGCCTTTATAATAGATAAAGGCTTGTATTGCTACAACGTCATGTCGTTTGGCCTAAAAAACACGGGAGAAACATATCAATGGCTGGTCAACCTAATCTTCACCGAGCACATCGGCAACACCATGAAAGTCTATGTGGATGACACGTTGGTAAAAAGTCAGACTGCCGACCAAAACCTCCATAACTTATCCCTCATGTTTTACATCTTGAAAAAGTACCGAATGAGACTAAACCCAACGAAGTGCGCCTTCAGTGTATCTTTCGAAAAATTTCCCCTCTTTATGATCAGCTAACGAGAAAAAGAAGCAAACCTTGAAAAAAACAAAGCTCTTATAGATATGGAAAGGCCAAAGACACAAAAAGACATCCAAAGCCTCATAGGGAGCTTTGAGGCCTTAACGCGCTTTATTTCAAAGGTTATCGCTCAATGTGCAACATTTCTTAAAGCGTTAAAAGGAAACAAATGGCACATTACTTGGACAGTCGAATGTGATCTCGCTTTTCAGGATCTAAAGAACTATATAAGCAAGGCGCCATTGTTGTCAAAACCCCTTCGTGATGAAGTCCTCTTCCTCTACCTGCCTGTCTCGCATACTGCCGTAACGAAAACCAGAAACGCCGAACTTCCAATTTTTTATGTGTTGTGCACTCTAGAATGCTGAGGTTGGGTACCTTGGCCTCGAATCATCCCTAATAGGGCAATCCAAAATTTGGGGTTGTACTACTGAGGAGCATACCTAAGGTGGGCCAAGATCCTTTGTATAGGAGGCTGCAATGGTAATTGGAGCCCATGTTTAAGGGCATCCATAAAAATAACCACTTCACCATCCTTGGGTTACTCAGAGATTCAGCAGGCCCAGGAATCCTCCACTTCACCGAATCCAGAATTAGAAATTCGGTATGATACCCCATGAGCTCCCTTTTCGTAAACTTGTCTGCATCAAAGTAATCAACCCCGAATAGTGGCCTTCTGGGTTGCCCCATTGGCACCCGTGTATCCGTAACTCACATGCCGATCCGGCACCCGCATATCCCGCATTAGAAATTTGCAGTACTGGCTAGTGCTGGCCAACTCCAGTTCGCTTGGAAATATGGGCCAACGGCACTACGCCTTCCGTTTGCTTCACATGCCTTCCCCTTTCATCAATTTCAAGTTTGGGCCCTTCATCATCGGCGCCCTCACTTTCAAAACTATCAAATTCCATTGTTTCACTGTCAGTATCCCTCTCATCGTTCGATGATTCTCCATCGAACGCTGTAGGTTCCCTCTCAAATTCTGACTCGCTATCAGACATCTACAAACAAAAATGGAAACGAAACTAAATGCCATGAACGATCAAACTAAGGTGATCTGCGGCCATTACCACTTATAGCTATTGACCTACCAAACGTTTGTCATGATCATATGTGCTCATAGTCTAGTTCACCGTATGCTCAACCGTTGGAAATTGCCTTTAGCAGAAGAATGCTCGGCCGCAGGACGAAGTCGCTGGAAATCCCCATTCATACCCTGAGTACGCACGCCATGGCCAACCCAAGCACACCATGCCGTTTTGATCCCCATCCTTATCGTTAGGTAAGGTAGAATTGTATGATCCCTGGTGTACCAACCAAACCCTGCCATTTGGATCATCATTCTTACCGATGAAAATCACGCCTTATGCTCTCTGAGCGTACCCATCATGCCAAACCATTTGGCTAGTATGTCCTTACTGATCGGCCCCATAGTCCTCGGAAACTTGGGGGAACTAGGGCACTACCATCGGCATAGGGCGAGTGCTGCACATCATCCTCACGACAAGCTTCGACTCATCAGAATATCGAAAATGAGAACAAGTCCCCAATAAAGAAAGCTTTTCTTAGTCGAAAATTTGAAAAACCCCTGTTTATACCATATCTAACCAGGTCAATCAAAAGACGACACGTGGAATAAAGGACCCCTGAGAGGACCCGCTAAAACCGGTAATCACTTTAACTTCTCAAAGCACCATTGGCAGGATGCAAGCCCTTTGCACCCTAGACTGTCAATAGTAGCAAAAGACGCACTTCAGTAAGAATTCCTCACAAGTACACATGGCACCTCCTCAGGTAATGCGCATAGTCCCACATCGAAATTCTACTCAAGATGCACATCTCCCAAAGTCTATAAATAAGGGCACAAGTCCTCAAAGCAAGGTAATTGCAACATTCGACAATTCAGCCATTACTTTGTACTTATTCTGATTTGAGCATCAGAAAGCCTTCGGCCAGTACCACACCGGTGCCAAAGGTCTTATCGAGCTCTCTTTGTCTTGCATATCATCCGCTCTCCCGAAGATCACATGAGGTCGAAGGTGACATCATCACTAAGTTGGGCCCAAAAGTGTCCGATAATTTTTTACAAGCGACAAGTATTGGGTGTCAATGTTGATTGCAAGGGAGATTGTATGGCTCAATGCATGCGATCCTGGGTTCAGTATTAGAATTTATTTTTTGACTACTCATTGTAAATCTATTTCACCGGAGCACAATAAGTTTGTGGGGATAAATTCATTGGGTCTACATTATTTCAAATGTCTCTAAATCCCCAGTGAATCTTCTTATAGGCTGAACCTATTCAAATAAAATTGTTGCAAATAATGAGACCTGTAGATGACAGAACCCAGACCAAATTTCACTTTGGAATTCGTGTCAAACCCCATGTGAGTCCAACACCTGGTAGCTGTCGAGATGAATGACTAAACTGCCCTTTTTGCGCTAATTCAAAAATGACTTTAGGGTTTGACTTCTACCGGAAAATCGGCAGAGTCTCCCCTGAAAATGGATATTTACCAAATTATTTGCACCTCTAGAAAACACAATTCTATAATCCCTATTATTCAGCATACAAGAATTTCGCCCGTACACAATTCAACAGTGATTCAAATGGAACTCAGGCCTGCACAACATAATCAAAACATTGACATTCACCTTGTCATAAATGAGAATTAATGGTAATCCAACAGTTCAAAGCATAATTCAACAGTTTCAAACTGAACCAATTCAAAGCATAATTCAACAGTTTATTTTGTGGCTGCACCTAGATAACTCTAGGGTGCGTACGTACCCTTACTAAGGGATCAAGCCACAAGTAGTCCAATTGTTAAATAACCCACACACTAGATCTTGTTCTTTAATGTAACCAACAGCAATAGACTAAACTAGCAAATATTAGAAAACTTAGAAACACACAAGAATTATACTGGTTTGGCAGAACTTTTGCCTACGTCTAGTTGTGATTCTCTAGGTAGAGAAATCACCGCTCCCTTGATTAATAATAGAGATTACAGAACTTTTGCAACCCTATAACTAATCTCAAAACTCTCGGCTGTCTGTGACTGTTTTTCCCCTAAAATAAGCCTTGCCGCACCCTATTTATAGATATAGAGTTGGCTTACATGTCCCAGGGCTGATTAAATTCCTATTTCTAAGTGGATTAGGAAATTACACTTATCCAAATCCAAATAGACTTCTAGAAATCCAACCCAAAATTGAATAAGGAAAACTGAAATTCTTTCCTAATCCCTCTAGGACAGGAAACGGTATACCTTTAATTTTCCTAAAACAATCCTAAACCAACTAGGACATATTTGACGAGCCAAAATCCTAACAATCTCCACCTTGGTGAGTCAAACCAAGTCTTGATCGTTGCACCCCAGAGTATCTTTGAACCTCCTTGAAGCAACTCTGGAAATCTTTAAGAGTCTTCACCTCAGCAATCTTCTTCTTGCCTCATTGCACCTCAAGTGAGGAGGTGCTCCACTTTAATCAATCAACGAGATTGATTAAGTTCAAGCAATGCTTGAACTTCTTGGCTGGCATTATCTTTGTAAGGAAATCTATGGCATTGTCATCCGTATGAATCTTTTCAATCCAAATCTCCTTAGACTCCACCCAATTTCTGATTCTATGATATCTTGCTTCAATGTGCTTTTATCTTCCAAAAAAAACTTGATTCTTTGCCAAGTGAATGGCACTTTGACTATCACACTTCAGCTTGACACAATCTTGGGTGATTCCCATTTGACTTACCCAGCCACTAAGCCAAATTGCTTCTTTTCCAACTTCGGCCAATGCAATATACTCTGCCTCTGTGGTCAACAAAGCTGTAATTGGTTGCAGTAGTGCCCTCCAACTGATTGGTCCTCCTACGCATGTAAACACATAACCAGAAGTTGACCTTCTCTTGTCCAAGTCCCCTGCATAATCAGCATCCACATATCCCAACACCCCTGCATTTTCTTTTTGCTTCTCAAATAATGCAAAATCCACTTGACTACATCCCAATGTTGCTTTCCGGGATTTGCCATGTAACTGGAAGTGAGCTGCCAAAAGAGTCGAAACTACCTATGCTTCTTGCATGTGGAACTTCTCAAGAACCTTCTGAATATACTTGGCTTGTGATATCCAGATCCTTCCAGCGGTCCTATCTCTCTGAATTTCCATGCTAAGGATCTTCTGTGTTGCACCTAGATCCTTCACGTCGAACTCCTCGCTCAACATCTTCTTCAAGTCTTGAATTCTAGACTTGTCTTGACAACGATTAGCATGTCATCCACATATAGCAATAGAAATAACAATATGATCATCCCATCTTGGAACACATGATAGTACACGCAACAGTCATATAAACATCTTCTAAAATTGGCTTTCAGCATGAAGTAATCGAACCTCTCGTACCACTGTCTTGGATGTTTCAGGCCATACAGGGACTTCCTTAGCCGACATACTAGGTTCTCTTTCCCATATTCAACAAACCCTTCTGGTTGAGCCATTAAAAATTGTCTCCTCTAGATCCCCATGAAGAAACGATGTCTTCACATCCATCTGCTCAATCTCCATGTCATGCTGAGTTGCCATTACTAAAAGCAATCTGATAGAAGTATAGTTGACTACGGGTGAAAAGATCTCATCATAATCCACCCCTTCCTTTTGTGAGTACCCTTTAGCCACGAGCCTTGCTTTAAATCTCACGGCATCTTGTTCATCCAACTAGCTTTCTGTCTTTGGGCTTAGGAACCAACTCCTAAACAGAGTTCTTGTAAAGAGACTCCATTTCTTCTGTCATAGCACTTATCCAACTATCTCGCTCATCACTTGCTATAGCTTCTCGATAAGTAATGGGATCTCCTTGACTAATGTTGAAAGCATAATTAACTTCGTCTTGGTTAAAGCCAAACCTGTCAGGTTTCTTCTTGTTTCGATTAGGTTTGTCTAGTGCTATGCATCTCTGGAATGCAAGTGGATTGTTGGTTGGAGTTCGAACCCTTCGAGATGTTTGGCGGATTAGAGTGCCTTCAAACTGCCTTGTTTCTTGCTCCACCTAATTCCTAACTGGTGAACGATGCTGATGCTCTTCTTCTTCCTCAAAACCATCAGATTCAGCATCTTGCTCAATTTGCTCCACCAGAGCTTCTTCTTTGTCTGAACTGATTAACAGAATCTTTGTTGCTTCAATTTAAGTATCGACTTTCTTCTCCCTACTGCTCTCGACTTTATTCAAAGGCATGGTTGTCTCATCAAAGACAACATCTCGGCTAACAACCTTTTTTCTGTTGTTGATATCCCAAAGCTTGAAACCCTTCACTCCTTTCTCAAAACCTAAGAATATGCAATGTGTAAACTTTGGTTTGAGCTTGGACCTTTCATCACTTGGAATATGTGCGTAAGGACTACAACCGAATACCCTGAGGTTGGAATAGTCCACCGACTTCTCAGACCATACCTCTTCTGCACTCTTAAAACCGAGAACTGTAGATGGTGATCTGTTAATCAAATAACTTGCATGATTAACAGCCTCTGCCCAAAAACTATTAGGCAATCCTGCATGAAATCGCATGCTCCTCTCTCTTTCTCTCTCTCTCTCTCTCCATGAGAGTTTGGTTCATCCTCTCAGCAGCTCCATTTTGTTGGGGATTCTTCTTTACTGTGAAGTGCCTTATGATGCCTTCCTGCTTGCAGTAATCGGTAAATTCATTACTTGTGTATTCACCTCCATTGTCACTTCTCAGGTACTTGATCTTTCTTCCAGTTTGATTCTCGGTTTCTGTTTTCCATTCCTTGAACTTTGCAAAAACCTTGGATTTCTGCTTCATGAAATAAACCCAAACCTTCCTAGAAAAATCATCCATGAAAGTAACAAAATACCTAGCTCCACCATTTGATTTGGTTGGTGCAAGGCCCCAAACATTTGAGTGAATATAGCTGAGTTGCTCCTTGCTTCGGTTATCTGCACTGCTACTCGTGAATGATGCCTTCCTTTTCTTTCCAAGAACACAATATTCACAAAAGTCCAGTTTGCAAGATGACACGCCTTCGAACAGGCTTGTGTAATTCTTATAAACGCTTTATGGCTTATGTGCCCAAGCCTATGATGCCACGGTTCAGTCTTGTCTTCTACCTTGATTTACAGAAATAGCTGCTCCCCCGACTATAGTGGTCCCAATTAACTTATACAGCTTATTGGGTTGTAGGTCACCTCGCATTACCACCAGTGATCCTTTGGCTACCCTAAGTCTTCCCTTTTTAGAGTTGTACCCATAGCCGACCTCATCTAAAGTACCCAAGGAAATCAAATTCTTTCTTAGTCTAGGCACATATCTAACATTCCTCGTCACTCTCATGGTACTGAAAAGTGCATCCGGTATCCAAAATCCAATTTATGAAAGCCTTGGAGCCTGATGTTACTGAAAGAAGCTCCCCGTCACTCTCATGCTCGGTGACTGCACTAGCTGAACCTGAGCTTCCTTCCATCTTGGCTTTCTTGTCTTTCCAAATCTTGCAGTTCCTTTTCCAATGATCAGCTGAACCACATTCAAAGCAACCTTCCTTCTTTTCCTTTTTCTTCTTGGATTTTGACCTACCTTTGTTGCCTGTTTTCTCTTCCTTTATCTTTTCCTGCCCCCTTTCCTTGACTTTGGTATAAAGGCCTTGAGAGCTTTCAGGTATATCATCTAGTTTAGCATATGATTGAAGAGCTTGAATTACATCTTCAAGCTTCATGGACTCTTTTCCAAATATTAAAGCTGTTCGAAAGTGCTTGAAAGATGGAGGTAGATACCTCAGTAAGATGATAGCCATATCATCATCTTTGTAAGTTTCTTCGACCTTTTGAAGATTAGTTATGCAATTCTGGAACCTGCATACGTGATCTTCAATATCACCTCCTTCTTCTAGTCGAAGTCCAAATAGTTCATCCTTTAGAAAAAGTTCATTGGACATGGTTTTGACCATATAAACATTCTCCAACTTTTCCCATGATTCATGGGCAGTCATCTTTTCGGTGATGTGTGATCGAACTAATCTTGTGAGATGGATCTCGATGGAACTCTTGGCCTTCTTGAGAACCTTAGTCCATGTTGCGTCTGTCATGCTTGCCGGCTTCTCACCGTTGAGTGCATCATCCAAATCTTGCTATATCAGTACGTTCTTCATCATCCTTTGCCAGTCCGTGAAGTCATCCTTGTTGTCAAAGGGCTTTAACGCAGGTCCTAGATCCGCATTCATCTTCCTTTTAGACATCGTAGAACCCCTTGAACTAGGCTCTGATACCAATTGTTAAATAACCCGCACACTAGATCTTGTTCTTTAATGTAACCAACAACAATAGACTAAACTAGCGATTATTAGAAAACTTAGAAACACACAAGAATTATACTGGTTCGGCAGAATTTTTGTCTACTTCCAGTTGTGATTTCTCTAGGTAGAGAAATCACCGCTCCTTTGATTAATAATAGAGATTACATAACTTTTGCAACCCCATAACTAATCTCAAAACTCTCCCCTAAAATAAGCCTCGCCGCACCCTATTTATAGATATAGAGTTAGCTTACATGTCCCAAGGCTGATTGAATTCCTATTTCTAAGTGGATTAGGAAATTACACTTATCCAAATCCAAATAGACTTCTAGAAATCCATACCTAAATTGAATAAGGAAAACTGAAATTCTTTCCTAATCCCTCTAGGACAAGAATCGGTATACCTCTAATTTTCGTAAAACAATCCTAAACCAACTAGGACATATTTGACGAGCCAAAATCCTAGCAGTTCTTTATATGCATAAATAAGTAAATAAAAATTCAACCCAAAAGTAAGCACAGGAATAAATATCACTTAATAAAATAATTGTGAATTGTATAATATCCTTGGAACTTAGAAAACTCTCAATCCTTATCTCATAACTTTGAAAACATGAATTAAAACTTTCATGAATAAGTATCAAGATAAAATCATTAATTTTAGCTTAAACATCTCAAAACCCAAATTCTCTCCACCTAGGCGTACCCCCATTCATAATCAGTCAATTCCACTAATATTTCGTCAATTCCAGTAATATTCCGTCAATTCTAAGTACCATGTATGTTACAACCTCGCAGAACTTAGGGGTCACGTGGTCTACCCGAGAACGCACATCCTCGTATAACTCGGGGGACATGTAGTCAGCCCAAGAATGCATCACAAAATTGAGGGAGACATGTAGTCAGCCCGAGAACGCATATCCTCGCATCACACGACTTAGGCGTCCTCGAGACTCGTGGGGCATTTTCATAAATGATAAGACTGTCCAAAGGCAATTGGGGGTGTACCCCCATGGTGGGTTTGAAAATCATATTCCAAAACTTATCATAAAATTTCCTCTTATTCCATAAATCCACTTACAAAAGTCCTTTATTAAAACGAGATCAATCACAACATTTCTTGATTAAATTTAACTATACATCATCCTTCAAAACTATTCTCAATTGCATTTAAATATGTACCCCATACTATTGAGAACTAGTATCCATAATTCAACAGTTTCAATCCACTGAGTATCCAATTAACAAGCCATTCCCAACTCTTCACAACTAAACATAATATAAAATACTCAAAAAGTAAAAGTGATTACATAATAACTCATAAACATTAAAATAATCTTCCATAGTATGATATCATTCTATAACAACCCTCCAATTACAAAGAAAGATAACAACAACAAAATTCCCTTAAAGAAAACTACCATTGACTGTACTAGTAGGGCTCACGACCTCAATTTGTTATTTGCCAATTCCTATTGGTCTATAACTATAAGTTCAACTCATTCTAAAAGTCTCGTCACGATCCAACGGTCGGATTGACCTCGATCACGGAATTACCAATTGGGCTTGCAGGGCCCTTAGCCTCCGATTTCTGATCTGAACGTTCCTACAAGTCTGACAAGGTCTACTTAACATGTCCTGAGAGTTCGGTCTCGATCGAGCGGTCGAATCCCTCTCGATCGGACGGTCACCATTTTGCATAAACTTTGAATCATTGGTTCAGAGTATCTGGGATTCCGATTCTCGATTCGCAAGTTCCTACACTATCCTAGGGGTCCCTAGATCAACATATTTGAAAATGGAGTCGATCCAAAAGTCCGAACATATTGAACCCAGATATCACCTAATATGTAAAAATCCGTTCGACTGTCAAATGATAACCAAATTTGAATCCGAGCATTCCGTCATGCTCGGGACGACATGAGGAACATTTGAGGACCAAATGGGCCACCCAAACTAGGCCCACGTGCCGCCACATGCACCAGCATCGCGTGGTTAGCTTGAGTAAATTTCTGACGACGAAAATTTCTCAATTCACCCATCAATACTTATACCTACCTGATCAGGACAACTAGGGGAGCAATTTATACAACTGAGCCGACCTCCAATTTGGCCAGGAAGTGGCCGAAAATTCAATCCAAAAATTGAAAATGTTCTAGGTTTTAGATTGAGTTTCAAAACTCCAAAATTGATCTAATCCAACCATATAGAAAGCTAGAGTACGTGGAGAAGATTGAAATCCATACCTGGTTCATCAAAAACGGTGGCTAAAATCACCCAGAATGGCGTTGAAAAATCTGAGTAGTCACAGCCAAATTTGAGCTCCCAACGCCTCCCTGAGCAACGGTTGTGGCTAGGCTTTCGTCCGGTCGTAATCGCCAGCCCCTCACGGTCACATTCCTACCGGTCTCAGCCACACAGTGGCCGAGTCTGTGTGCATCGTGAGAGGGGGTCAGGAAAGAGAGAGAGAGAGATGTCCCTTTTAAAATTCTAACTTTGAAATATTTGCGGTTGTGCACTGCACTTTCGTTGATCGTAACTTCTTCGTTAAAACTCCGATTTGAGCCCGCTGCGTGTCTAGGAACTTGTATCGCCGTGCTCTACACAATTGTACCACTCAAATAATCCTCAAATAAAGTGAACTTTAAACCCATTAAAATATTATCGAGGTAAAATTGTCTTTTAATTGAGTAATTTAATAATTAAATTTTAATTTAGGATCGGGTTATCACAATTTAACTCGTGTACGAGCTATTCAATAGGCAACATATTTTAATTAAATTGCTTTCATCCCTTTATTATTTTTATAAGGCCCAATTTTGAATTTTATGGAAGATTATTCACAATAATTTCCCATTTGTAAACAAAACCATATGGCCAAACTCAACAGTTAACTCTAAACATTCAAATCCACAATATATATATATATATATATATTTAAAAGTTGCCAAAAGTTCAAATCATTAGTTGATTCCCCGTGCCTCTACAGTCATTGCATCCAAAGTTACCATAGTTACTTTCGGTTACTAGAGTTGAAAATTATGGGTTAACTTTCAGTATTTAAGAAGGCTTCGGCCTCAGTTGAAGTAGGATTTGTTTTAAGCTTCAGTTATCAAAGTTTTCTCTGAGACTCCCTCAAAGAAAACTTTCAATGTAAATTGCTATCTATCAATAAAAGAAGGCTATTGTAGGTATAATACTTTCAAACTATGTTTTCAATTATTGATATTTTTAGTATGTTCATCTATGCAATAATTTCAT